AAAGCTTTTATTTAATTATTATTTACCTTGTTTTATTTTGGCAAATTAGTGGTTCTCATTTTCGGGTCAATGCTAAATTGTACTCAAATAATTTTTTTCTTTCTACTCTTAGATTGAAAATCATATTAAATTTCATATAATTTCTACGATAAATGAATATTTATTCAAAAGAACAGTTCATAATTTTATTTTCATTCACAAACTGAGAGAAAAGAAATAAAAGTTGAAAAAATATTCATTTGAATGTTAGAGACTTTTTTTTGACAATGTTATTAGTTTATACTTGGAGAATATTTTTAAAAAATGCATGTCTTAATTAAGCATATAAGTTTGGTGGGTCCACGTTATTTACCCCCTTTCATTTTTTTCAAAATTTTTTGACGGAAATTATATTCTTTTTAATATAATTTTTTCTAAAACAATTCATAAACAATTTAAAAATTAAAAGATACTTATATTTTATTCACAAAAACCCTAAAAAAATTTGAATTTTTATTTTGGAGTAATATTAATTCCTAAACTTGTATAGGTGTCTATTAATTCCCAAACTTGAAAAATTAAACACGTTAAATCCTGAACTTGTTAAACGGTTCCATATTTGTCCATAGCGTTATTTGGTCAAAAAAACGAGTTGACCGATCCGACGTGGCGTGTGACGTGGCGCGCCACATCGGATCGGTCAACTCGTTTTTTTGACCAAATAACGCTATGGACGAATATGGAACCGTTTAACAAGTTCAGGATTTAACGTGTTCAATTTTGCAAGTTTGGGAATTAATAGGCACCTCTACAAGTTTAGGAATTAATATTACTCCAAAATACAAGTTCAGGAATTTTTAGGGTTTTTTCCCTTATTATTATTGTAAAGATTTTATTTTTTATTATTATATTCGTTCAACAGTAACGATTAATATTGGTTTCTATGGTTTAAATATATTTTGACAACTATGATAAATTGTTAGAAGTAGTAAGGATTTTTTGAAGTGTTTAATACTGTTATTTAAATAGAAAATGAAAAAATATATGTATGCAGATAAAATATATTAAATAAAGGGGCAGAAATGGATGAATATTTATATAGTTTCCCCTTTGAGATTAACAGTTGTCGGTTTCCGTGCTGTCGATTTCATGTGTTTCGGACGGGAATCTTGTTTGCTTTGCTGATGTTATCTCTTCTTATCTTGAAAGCAAGCAACCAATTTTACTATTTTATTTTATTTTATTTATTGGTTGGTACGTTTGTTACGTTAACTCATTTTCAATATATATATATATAGTTAATTAATTAATTAATTAATATTCAGATGATTTAGACTGAACAAAGCTGGTTCTTAGCTACTAATAATAGAAGTTAAGACGGATTAAGATCCAAAGGACGTGGACCCACGTTGATACTCCGGTTTCTATGTTTTTTTTGTTTGCTTTATCATATATACAGATATATACACACGTATATACACGAGTATATATGTATGCCGACAGATAATGATATCTGCAGGTCCTGAACAGTCCCTAATGTTAATTTTATGGAATTCTGTATGTCGTCCATATGCGCGCGCGCTTAATTAATTTATATCTCTACTTGTATATATGAGACAACTTAAATTATGAAATAATTCGCCATGTAAGATATAACTCAAGTAATTCAACTAATTAATTCTCACATCTAATTATGTGAACATAATATATATATATATATATATATATATATATATATATATATATATAAAAGAGACGTACTTGTGCAACAGAGAGCCCCAGTTCTTCCATGATTCCTTCCTCTGAACCTGAAGAATAACCAGTCTGCAAATTCCCAAAATCAAATTATTTTTTTTTATGAAAAAATCAAATTATATTATACTTACAATAACATATATATATATATATGCAAATTCCCAAAATCAAATTATTTTTTTTTTTGAAAAAATCAAATTATATTATACTTACAATAACACACACATATATATATATATAAACTCGTGAAATAAAGGAATTGAGATTTGAAAATAACTCACAGCACAACCAAAGGTGAAGGAGCTGCAAACAGCGACGAAGGTGCTGAGGATAACACAGGCAGTGATACGACACTCTTCGCTGTCGTTTTGGTCTCTGCGTTGGAGCAGCCCTGCTTCCATTGATCTTTCTTCCTCCACCACCATCACCATGTTTCTCCTTAATTTTCTTTCTTGGCTTTTTATTTTCCCGAGAAACAATCAGAAAAAATTAATCTGCTCTGTTCGATCCAAACAGATGACGATATGAGACGACCCTCCTAGAGAGAGAGAGAGAGAGAGAGAGAGAGAGAGAGAGGGAGGGAAACAATATGTTTCGTTTGCTAACAAGCCAAGTGGCCACCACTTATATTGAAAACTTCATATGCTTTTTTTGTTTTTCTTGTAATGGTTTCTCTCTGTGTGTGTGTATATATGTATATATATATATTCTTGAAATGGAGGGTATCTAATAGGGCGACAGATTTTCGGAGAAAATGGAAAGCTTCGAAAAATTGTTTAATAATTTCCCATTTGCGGAATACAAGATATGTCTATACACGTAATGCCGTGTGGGAGTACGATTCATATAAGAAATTGTTTATAAGAATCAAAATATTATATAAATTAAGTATAATAGATTATCCAAAAAAAATATTAAAAATTAATGTGATGAAGTTAATAGATTTGATGTGATTAATAACGACACTACATTCTTGATTATAATTTTCTTAATATGATATAAAATAACAAATAATATTACATAAAAATAAAATATGTACTCAATATCAACCATACAAGGTGGCCACGTAAAAACAGAGAGAGAGGTCGAGCACTCTCCCACATTTAATGTTTCTTCAAACGTAAATTATCCATTGACCACTAGTTTGATGCCACGTGTATACATAGACGCTCCCACAATCATTTTGCGTGTATAACTAGTAAATTAAATACAAATTGGATTATATAATATATTAAAATTTATTTTGTTGGAAATTAGCGTTGAACCTACCCAAATAGTTTGATATATACCATACTTTGCTTACGTACCCGACATTGTCCTACTAATGTCCAATTTTGAAAATCTTATATATCCCAAATTAACTTTTCTTTATTTTGGATAATTAGCAATAGATAAGGACCGCATTCATATCTAATTTTGGATCAGGATATAGAGATATATTTCGAAGATTTTTCTTTTTTTGGATGTAGTCATTTATGGAAAAAAATATATAAAATGGCATAGAATGTCATGACAACTGAAATATTAATGAAAAACCCACAATTTTATTTTATTTTTAAAAGAAGACTAACCCTCCCTATGGATTAGTGTCTCTGTCTAATCTCAGTACTTCGGATATAATTCCATTTATTCGGGTGGTTATTCATTAAAAAAACAACTAAGGAAAATAATATATAATTTACTGTTTGGCTATGATTAAAGAACGGCTAGATTGCTAATATTGTTCATCTTTTTTGTTTTTAATCCTAAAAGCAAAGAAATTTCACAGTAGATTTTGTATGAAGACGATAAACTGTACAAAGGGAGATTCATTGAATGCAACGGTCCAAAAAGCAAAACAATAAAAAATGTTTTTTAATCTAAAAGATTGGATCGGTTTTTGGCTGAATCTGTAATTTTTTTTATTAAGGTATTATTCCTGGCATTTATTTCATTGTGCTTCATAACAATAATTTCAATGTTAAATGTAAAATATAGAGAAAAAATAAAATCATAATTTAAAATACCGAAGAGACTATTCTATCATTTGGTCGAGAGATAAGTATTACTATTTGGTGTTATCCAAAAGGGATACAAAAATAAAATTCGAATTTAAAAAAAAAAAGAAAAAAGGGAGTGAGAGATGGAATACAATTTCTATTGTTTTCAAAATATAAAATATGTATTTTTTAAACTTTTTTACATATAAAACATTTTTCAGAAATATGTTCCAATAATTCTTTTTCAACGATAATTTGTACAATACAATAATAAATATATAAATAAGGAATTCTAAACTTGTAAGACATTTTTTATTACGCATTGACTAACTTCGTTTCATAATTAATTAAATATCCGACACCTCATTATTTTCAATGAATAAATATAAAATATGTCAACCATGTCGCTACGCACGCAAACGTGTTTATTGCACGTTATCATGAATGAAATCTATTTGAATTGTAATGTGATAGTTGGCAATTTTTTATTGGTCGTTGGTATGTATTGTGTACATTTGATTTCAAGATAAAAAAAAAAATCTAAATGCAGTTGCATATATATTATCAATTTATCACATCTGCTCTCAAAATAGAACATATGTGAAAATGTAATTTTGAATTCTATCATTTGGAGAAACATGGCACGTTAAATCTAAATATATGTGTATGTGAATCAGTATATACGCATGTATATACGCAAGTATATTGATGTATACGAAAATGGAGTTCATCTTACAAATTGCATGTTGAGACAGGACCGACGGAACATGAGGGTTGACAAGTTTTAGAAGAACAAGCAAATTCATGATTTTCAATGGAGTTGTTATCGGACAACTCACATATTCACAAGCTTACTCATATATACATACATATATATATATATGTATATGTATATATTATATTAATATACAAAAAGTAAGCACCTAATTAAGTAACCTAAAAAGCAAATTAGAGACGTTTTGTGTATGTTGACCGAATGCTTTGGTTGATATTTCCATGTTGGTACTTCAAGATCGATTGGGACATATCAGATGTTGCAAATGGAAAACTCCGCAACGATTTGTATCCTTTTTTTATTTGGACCGTCTGGATTTCGTATATGTGTATAAAAAACATAGGGTATAATTTCCATTCACGTAACCTTCGTTAACAAAAAAATATATATAGTTTGTTGACTTTATGCGGATTAGAACGTGGAGAAGAAAAACCCTCCAACGTTTTCCTTCCATCACGTATGAGATCAATCTATTAAATGTAAATGAATGGTAACCGTTCACATATATACATTTAATACGAAACAAAAGTCCAATTTATAATCTCACCGCTCAAAACAATGTCCTTTTGGATTTTTTTTAACGATAAGAACATCCATATAATATTTTCAACAAAAATAATCGAGGGTATTTAAGCATTTTTACCCTTTTAAAAAGCACGAGAGAATTTGATTAAAAAAAGATAATTCAATAACCACGTGATCTCACTCAAAGGAACATTGGCTTGGTGTATCATCTTGCAGTCCAAAGTAAATAACGACAACAACATTTTGGAAACTTTCAATTCCAATATGTATTCGCCTACCGGATTGAATGTAGACGTGTAATCAGGATTTATACGTGTTAAAATACGTCGAACCTAGACGGTCCAATTCGAATATTTTTTTTTTTAAAGCTTTTAAAGCATGGATACATCGTTCAATTTTGGCTTACTCCTTCATTGATCGATCACTGAAATGTGATACGTGAATTTCATTTTTTTTCATAGCATGTATATATCGATTGTTATATATAATTCAGAAATCGATTTTATAAAAAAATATAATGAATTAAAAAACAAAAAAAGGGAGACTGCGGGATGGTTTTTATATAATTTCCCATAGATAAAGATAGACACTAACTCTTTGACCGAATCGATCGAGAAGCGCTATCGTGTCATATGGTGCGACGTTTGTCGTATCTATCAATTACACTTTACCACGTGTCCAAATATCATTTTACAACGATGTTATTAATTAATTTCATATATATGTATGTATATATATTGATGGTTGCATACCTAGGAATATATATGGCTGTAATATTTATTAGTAGCAGGCGTGGATATGCCAAAGGTTTCACATATTTAACATCACCATTTGATTTTATAACATTTTTCACATGCCCAATCCCAATGCTTTTTGGTCCACTTTCACACGATTTAGTGGGCAAACAAGGAAATTGTAATCAACGCGGTTAGTTCAACATATAAATCAATTATTTAAGGATAATCACATAAAAAATAACCGAACTTTTATAAAAATCCCAAATAAATATCCAAACTATAAAATTGTCATATAAATATCTGAATTTTTCAAAACTCTCATATAAATACTCATACTTTTAAATGTTTTCCAAATCAAACAAATACAATTGCTGACTCAACAAAAAACTGCTAACTAATCATTCAAAAATATTATTAAATATCCAAATATTTATCTACATATATTTAAATTAATATATACATATAAATTCACATATATATACAAATATATATATATATATATATAACTAAAATATATTATTTATATATACATATATATAACTACAATAACTGAATTTTTTCAAAACTCCCACATAAAAATAAAATTATTTATAATTAATAAAACACATATACACATAACTACATATATCATTACTAATGCATATATATTACAATAAAAATAATTATAATTAAATTTATTATTAAAAATAATAATAATGCATAAAAATAATTATAATTAAATATATATATTATGTATATATATTACTAAAAATAAAAATAATAATAATGCATTATTATTTTTAATAAGTATTTTAAAATAATAATGCATTAGTATGTATATATAATTATTTTTAATTTTTTTTTAATATATATGCATTAGTAATAATATATATGCATAGTAATATATAATACTAAAAATAAATTTAATTATTAAAAATAATATATATATATATATATTGTAGTTATGTGTATATGTGTTTTATTAATTATAAATAATTTTATTTTTAATATATATATATATATGTGAATTTATATGCATATATTAATTTAAATACATGTAGATAAATATTTAGATATTTAATAATATTTTTGAATGATGAGTCAACAGTTTTTTGATGAATCGTCGGTTTTTTTGTTGAGTCAGCAGTTTTTTGTTGAGTCCCAGTTGCGTTTGTTTGATTTGGAAAAAATTTAAAATTCTGGGTATTTATGTGGGAGTTTTGAAAAGTTCAGGTATTTATATGACAATTTTATACTTTGGGTATTTATTTCGGATTTTTATAAAAGTTCGTTTATTTTTATGTGATTACCTCATTATTTAATATATTTAATTGGGTTTATTGAGAACACAGATGGGTAATTATGTATGTTAATCAATACCTTAAAAGTAAAAATCTTGGTTTTCTTGTTTATGAAAGATTTTATTCAAATTAGTTCGGAAGTATGGAAATTGTGATCTTAGATGCGAAGTGGGGAAACATATTATAAAAAAAAATGATATTAACATAAAATATTATTAATGTGTAGATGTTGTAGAGTTTGGGCTAGAATTAATATTTATAACTCGGTCTGTATTGCGGTGGTTATCAATGGGCCCAAATATGTTCCACGACCTTCATTGGGCCGGCTAGTCATCAGTACATTATTTTATAATTTGATTACTTTATTTTATTTCTGCAGCATATATATATATATATATTTAAAATAAGTTGTAATGTATCTAAAAATAAAATTTATTAAGATAATACATTTAATTTTTTTAATAAAATAAATTTTTTAATATGGGGTTCTATTTAAAAATTCATTAGACATCTTTTTTTGGCATGGAGAAATTTGTTTTTAAATTTTTTTTATAGAAAATATCTGTAAAAGACGGTTTATAAACAACTTATTATTGATGATACGAAATTTGTATTTACAAAAGAAAAGGTTAGAATAATATTATACATTCGAAAAAGTTATTCTCTCTTAAGTAAGAAAGATCACTGTCAACACTTAATAACGTTATTTTAAAAAATTACAAAATTAGTGAAATAATTTAGATTGATATAAAAAAAATAATTATTTTATTTTCGCTTAATTTAAAATTTTGTAAAATTTGTATTAGTAAGTGATGAGTGAATGTTTACACTTCTTTCCATACCACTACAGATGTCTGGCCATTATTAGTTGCTTTCATGTTTGGTTAATTATGTGCACACATATATTTAGTTTGTGATGTGTGCAAATATAAATATTGTTGTTGACCTTAATTAGGTCTAAAAACTAAATAATAAGAATTTCACATTGTCAATTTTATTATAGGAGCAAAATTTAGTGCAACATATCAAAATTTAGTAACAAAAAAACATCCAAATTTAGGTAGTTTAATCGGTAAAACGAGATATTTAACCGAATTTCTCTAATTTTTGGGATTAGTCTAGACTTTTTTTTACGGATTAGTCTAGACTTTTTTTTTACGATGGGAAACCCCTATCCTACAACCCTTCGGATTGGACACAACAACGCCTCTTAGCCCATGGGCCGGACGAGAACAACATAAGGACATCCCTACGCAGTAGCCGACAAACTAGGCGGAGTATGTAAACCAGTCTCGTAAAGCTGACCTGCTCAAGGAGAATTTCCATACCTAGGTTTCGAACCCACAACCTCTTAATAGAGGGGAGTTGTCACTGACCACTAGGTTCGAGGACTTCCCGATTAGTCCAGACTTTGATATATGATATCCAAATATAAAAAAAAAAGAGTGAAACAACTGAGAAACATGACGTTTATAAAGTTTGGAAAGGATGGTATATTATTGTTAAACAATATTATCCTATAATAATAATGTTATAAATGATATTATCCTATGATATATTATATATAAGACTGTGTAATATCAGTAATGGGCGGGTGGATATGTCGAAGTTTGCACATATTTATTATTTAACGTCATCATTTGATTCTATAGCATTGTTCATATGCCCGATTCGAATGGTTTTTGGTCCACTTTCCCACCATTCATTGGGCACACAAGGACATTGTGATCAGTGTGGTGGGTTCAACATTTTACATGCCTTTTTTTATAAATAAAAATCTTGGATATAAGACTTGGTGTTATCGTGGTCAAATTTAGGGTTGAGCGTTTCGATATTCGGTTCAGGAATGGTTCAGTTCGGTTCTTTCGATTTTATAAAATATGTACCATTCGGTTATTATATCATATTTGATTCGGATCAGTTTAGTTTTTTAATAAGAAAATTTTAGATTTTCTTAAAAAAATTCGGGTCAGTTCATTTTCAGTTCTCTAAAAAAAGTACTATTTTTTTTTTCGGTACGGTTCGATTTCAAAGAACGGTATGGAAACTCCCACCTCCAAATCCAATCAAACTGTTCAATTATTTAATATATTTAATTGGTTTTTGTTGAGAACACATATGGGTAATTATGTAAATTATTAATTAATCAATACCTAAAAAGTACAAATCCTGGTTTTCTTGGTTATGATAAATTTTATCTAAATTAGACCGGAAGTATGGAAATTGTGATCTTAGATACACAGTGGGCAAATATATTATGAAAAAAATGATATTAACATAATATTATTAATGTATTGATGTGGTATAGTTTGGGCTAGAATTAATATTCATAATTCGGGCTATATGGCGGTGGTTATCAATGGGCCCAAATATGTTCCACGACCTTTATTGGGCCGGCTAGTCATACATTCTTTTATAATTTGATTACTTTATTTTATTGCCGCAGCATAATAATAATTTGTTTAAATTAGTTGTAATATATTTTTAAAAAATAAAAATATTAAAACAACACATATTGAACACATATTATGGACATAGGTAATGATTTTACCAAAGAAGTTACATAATAAATAATAACATAAAAAACTAATGCTAAATTTGTATTTTCAATCTAATCTCAATAAAAATAAGAATGATTAGAACTATTACAGCTTTTTGTTTGGCATCCAAATTGGGAAAGAATTATTTCATTAAATGTTACGTTTTGTTTGGTTCTGTGTAACCTTCTGATTCCAAACTCGTATAAAGACGTTACAAAAATATACATACTTGAACAAAGATAAATTAAATGCATTATACAAAATTCTAGAGAAATTTAATGATGCCACTAACACACACACACACAAAACAATGGGTTCACAGAGATGCGGGTCAGGTTTAGAGCGATTATTTTGGTTATTAACCGAATGAAATGGAATAAGGTATAATTATAATTATAAATAAGCTGAATTTGATATAAAAACTGAATGGTTATAATTATTCTAAATACAAAAAAGACTAATATTTTTTATAACAAAAAAGGATCCGAGCTGAATCGAAAAATAATCATACCAAATTGAATCAAAATTTATATAAAAACAGAACGATGGTTTTTTCATAATCGAAATAACGAATATAAATATAATCTAGGTAATGTTCAAAAGCCCATGGGACCCACTCTTGTCGGAGGAATTTCACCAATCAATGAGAATGCGCCACGTAGCAACTAAAATAGCGCCTATTTAGCTTCACAAAAATTTTAAATAACAAAGAGAACTCCTTAAAATCTGGGCCCCAAAATTTGAAATTGCAAAAGTCCCTCTCCAGAGAACCGCATTTTGTTTCTCGTCGCTTTCTCTTCCTGCATTGTGCATCTCCACCATAAAAGCCCTAGCAAAACCCTGACCCTTGGAATTCCAGCGAACCCTAATCTTTCGCCTCCACATTTTGTACCCAGAGGAGAAACGTCACCAAAAATGGCGAAGAAGAAATTGACCCGTCAAAGCAGTGGAGCCATTGAGCAAACCCGCAACCACAAACTCCCTGACACTGACCTCAAAGCCACGGCTTTAAGCCGTCAATCCTCCATGGACGACCACTACTCCTCCGAGGATAAGGTCCAGAGCCTGAAGTCTCTCAACTCGATGCTTCTCAAGGAGACGGTGGAGAAGAGGCAGCAGATCGAGTCTCTGTCCCAGGCCAAGGATGCGTTGGAGGCCGAGTTGGTTCGCTCCGGGTCGGAGAAGACTGGGTTGCGGGACGAGTTGAGTAGGGCGAATGATGAGAACATCGGGTTGAAGCTGGAAATGGCTCTGGTTGTGGCTTTTGTTGAGAGTCAATTGGCGGTGATGGGTGATGGTGTTGATGGGTTGGTGAAGGAGAAGAGTGAGAGAGAGGGTGTGATTAGGGTTTTGAAAAGAGAAGCAGATGAGTTGGTGGGTAAGCTCGAGAGCGAGAGAGAATGGTTAAGTAGGGTTTGCGAAGAGAGGGATTCGATCAAGAGTGGGTTTGAGTTGCAGAAAGAGGAAACGAATCGGTTGAGGGAGAACTTGACTGAACTGGATAGGAAAGAATCGATTTTGGTAGATGAAATTGAAAATTTGAAATCCGAAAACGTTGGATTGGTGGAGGAGAAGGAGAACAGGGACGAGTTGATTGAGCAGGCGAAGAGGGAGAGGAGTAATCTAGAGAAGGCCTTAGAGGAGAGAGCTGGGGAAATCAATGGCCTGACGAGCGAAATAGAAAGGCTTGTGAGAGACAAGGAGGAGTTGGAGATAGGAAAACTCGGCAAAGAGGCGAAAATCAACGAGTTGGAGAAGAAGTTGAACAATTTGGGTGAGATTGTTCAGAGTGTGAGAAAGGAAGAGCGAGTTTTGCAGGAACATGTTATGGGGTTGGAGAAGAACCGCGATGAGGCTATGGAGAAAGAAAAGGCGATGGTGGTACAGATTGGTGCGTTGGTGAAAGAGAAGGGTATTATGGAGTCAGAGATGGAGAAGATAATGGAGGAGAAGAATTTGGTTAACGAACAAATGGAGACTGTCGTCGTTGAGAGCTCTGCTAAGGATAAGTTGATTGATGTTTTGTCTAAGAAGAGAAATGAGCTAGAGGGGCATATAGTTAACAGGGAAACTGATCTTGTTGAGCTGAAAAGGAAGGTTGGAGATCTAAAGTGCGCAATCGGTGCACTGGAAAAGGATAACAGAGATCAATTGGAGAAGAATGAGAAGCTTAGTCACGAAGTTAACTGGCTTAGAGACGCTCTCTCGCAAGCTGAGCTTCGGAGAGGGCATGCAGAGAAGGCACTTGATGAGGAGAAGAGAAACAGAGTAGACCTCAAGTCAAAAGTTACTGAATTGGAGAAAGCAATTGAATCAACCATTAAAGAGCTCGATAAGATCAAGATTGAGCGTGAGAGCTTGGTCAGAGAGAAAACGGAAGTGGAGAGTCAATCAGAATCATTGAAAAACGAAAAGGGTATGCTTGAAAACAATCTTGTTAACGCCAAGAAAGCCATGGATGACCTGAAAGCAGAGGTAGAATCTGCCCGAGCAGACAAAGAACGTTGCTTGGCAATGGTGACGAGCACTGCATCTCTGCTCTATCGATCACAGAACGCCAAAGATGGATTCAAGTCCAAGGAGAAGGATATTGATCCATACACAATGGAGCTGGAAGCGATCAAGAACGCGTTCAAGAATAAAGAGGAGGCAGTAGAGGAGATGAGGAAGAAAGTCGAGATTATGAAGCATGCCATGGAGGAGGCAGACAAGAGGAAAAACTTCTGGGCCATTGTTTCATCAGCAGCAACCCTTTTGGCAGCTGCTTCAGTTGCATACGCTGCTAAGATTCACTGATGGTACTGTCCCCTTAGCTCTCTGACGTTATTACCGCATTCGAGTTTCCTGCTTTGATCAAATGAACTCTTATAGCCATTTTGAGAGTATGTTTATGCTTTAAACATGCCTCCTTGCAAATAAGCTTTGTTCTCAGACTCGATGACTGTTATCAGGTGAAGTAATATTGTTCCCTTCGTCCTTGCTTTTGTGCATTGGCTGTTTTTTCCCTGAAAGTTCTGAAATTTCTCGGAAAATCTTTACCTTTTCTTTGTTCCATCCTGACGTGGGATTTTGTGGACTTTTTGGTGGCCGGTTGCATTGGTGTGAAACGGGAGGTAGTCTCCTTCTAGAAATCTTAACCGGAGTGTTTTGTAGTTCCATACCCCTTTTCAAAAGAGCCTTTTGCATAATCCATGGGCGAACTTCGTGCCGTTTTTTCTACGACTGTTTAGTAAATGTGGTGGGATTTTTTTGGCCATCATGCCCATTGATTCAGACAAAAAGTTTTGGATTTTTTTTTTGTCGTTTGTATTTTTTTTTTAAATAATTGTGGTTGGTCTTTATGCATAAAGAAAAAAATAATAATAATAGTAATAATATTGTGGTCAGAAGCACATATTCTCCACTTGCACATTCTTCTTCCTTGTGTAGCTCGCCAATATAAAGTTATTTTTTTTTACATTGATGTGAAAATATAAAGTTAAAATTATATAGCCAACTTGCAACATTTGTCTATTATATATAAATTCAGAATATAGTGACATGAATTCAGAATTGACTTTATGTTTTGATTAGACTTTATCGTGTGGACTCTCTCTTTTTTTTTTTAAATTTGTTTTTGTGTGTGTATGTAATTGTTGCACTTCCTCATGTGTGGTATATGTCAAGGTAAGACCATAACATTTATAATATATATATTTTTTTTGTTAAAATAATATATATAATTTTCTTAGATAATTATATTGTTTTTGCAAACAAGACACTGATTGATTTATACATTCAACATATTTAGAATATTGAATAGAAATCCACCTTATTTTACATGTATGGTTATTAATTATTATAATTATTGTAGGTCCACGTATGACAAATCCCGGCAGAGATATAACAACGCGAATACATTCATTTCGTAGCCCTACAGCTATGGATATCCTATATGTTATGTATATATATCTATATGTTTTGTCATTTATGAGCGTATCATATTATAAACACATAAACATGAAGCTAATTATGCTGAAAAATCAGCTTTCAAGTAAAAAAAAAAAAAGGAAGCTAGGGTTAAAACGCCAATTTGTTCGTACCCCCAAGAATCTCTGGTTTTCCCAGTTCCTTGAACGCACTCGCTGTCTTCCACTTCTTTCCTTCAAGAAGCCAGCGTTGGCGGCCACAAAACGCAAAACGCAAAACGCAAACGCCATCAAAACACCGATTACCTTATGAAAACCCCGTAAGCAGTTACCGCAAGATAGCGACGAGATACCTCAGGCTTCCCCCTCCACGGATCAGCCACTTTGTTAGTGAATACGAAACTGAAAAGCGATTAGTGGCGATCAGCGATCGGCGTTCACAAACGCTTTAATCTCGTCCATGACGGTGTGGAAGTGGTTGTTGTTTGGTAAGAGGTAGAAACCGATGGTCGCACGCTCCAAATACATAAGCTTCACTTCAAGGCGCTCCTTCCTCAGCCCTTCAACGTATGCCAATTGCCAATCTTGGATCAGATCCAACCCAGCCACTACCACTAGGCTCTTCGGGAAGTTCAAGCCATCGAGCCGCTGGCCCCGTGGTCCAAACGGGTTGCAGGCAGGATGGTCTCGGTCCTCCCCCTCGGGAAGAAACGCTCTCCAGTACCAGTCCCGGTCTCTCACCGTCACAAAGTACTTCCCGTCTAACCTTTTCTCAGACTCGGTTCTTTCCTTCCCTCCAAACATCGGGTTCAGAATCATTGAAAAACGAAAAGGGTATGCTTGAAAACAATCTTGTTAACGCCAAGAAAGCCATGGATGACCTGAAAGCAGAGGTAGAATCTGCCCGAGCAGACAAAGAACGTTGCTTGGCAATGGTGACGAGCACTGCATCTCTGCTCTATCGATCACAGAACGCCAAAGATGGATTCAAGTCCAAGGAGAAGGATATTGATCCATACACAATGGAGCTGGAAGCGATCAACAGCAGAATGTTGCCCAGAACTCGGATCATTCCCGATTCCGCGGCCCTTACCGCCACGTTGTGAACGATGTTACCTCCCGAGCTATCACCCGCCAAGAAAATATGAACCTTTGAGTCCTTTTTGCTCTTCAGCCAAGATCTTGAATCGACCCATTTGAGAGCAGTCCATCCATCTTCGTATGCACAAGGGTACCGATTCTCGGGTGCACGTCGATAGTTCACCGAGATCACGACGCAACCGCACACGCCGACGAGCCTACGGCAAAGGGTATCATATATAGCGCTGTTGGCGGACGAATGAGCGAAGCTTCCGCCATGGAAGAAGAGGATGACGGGCACGATCTCTCCCTCGACGGGTTTCTCGAGATCGATCAAGCTCTGTGGCAGCTGCTCCCCGTTGATCAACGGCCTGTAAACCCGACTGAGAAGACTGGTTTCCCGATCAATGACGACGTCGAACGAGAAGACGCCGTCGAGGGGGATGGCGTTTGCGGGGGCCTTACGGTCGAGAAACTCGGCCAAGTGACGGTTGAAGGTTCCATCAGGGCGGCGTAAGATATTGTAAGCCACCTTAAAGTTGGAGATCAGGACCCATGTGTTGAGTGGAACCACCCTCTGAGCCAACACACAAAAACCGACAACTCAGATACGATTTCAATGAAAAAACCCGATCAAGAAAACTGCTGTAAAGGCCGTGGCTTTACAATGAAATCGATGGAGGGTTTTGATGAATCGTGTAAAAGAGAAAACAACATTCGCAGTAAAGTTCTTTGAGAATTAAATGAAAATTGTTGCAAACACCAAAACAGGAAAGAACTCACCAACAAAGACAACATAGTATGAGCTTCGTGTTCAATGGAAAAGCCCCCAAAACAGAAAAAAGAAGGAGCAAGGAGAGCAAGTCGATTCAACACTTGGCAGCCAAAACAAATTCACGATCCCTAGCTTCTGTGACAGAACGAAATCCGATCCCCAAAACCATGAACAGCTCATCATTCAGACAGGAAACCAGCAGCACCAAAAAGGAAATCAAAATCTGATTTTTTCCCCCTTGAATACAAAACCCTAGTTATAGGAATCTGAAGAAGCTATAGCAACAGTCCCGAATAGAGAATTCAAAAGGATAATCAGCGGAAACTAAGCACACAAAAAAAAAGGAGGAAAAGAAAAGTGAAACCGAAGTTATAAAAAAAGACCCATCAAGCAACGACACGTCTCATTGCATAAAAAGCCCTATGCTTTGATTACAAAAACACAGATTCTACAGAAGTTCGAACCAAAAAGTAAACCGTAAGAACATCATCAAGAGCCAAACGAAACCAAACATTGAAACAGACCCATTGAGGATGTCCAAATTTAAGCCATGAAATTGACGGGAAATCACAAAACGGAAGGTCAAATCAAGCACCCAAAAGAATGAAAAAAGAGAGAGGAAGTACCCAGCAAGGGAAAAAAAAAAGGACTCACCTTGCTCTCAATAAGGTTAACTTGATCGCTCCCAGCCATGGAAAATCTCCTTTTTTTTTTCTTTTAACCGATCAAACAGCACAGAACCACAAAACCCAGATCAAATTAACCCAAACTTCCTTCGACTGATCCGGCAAGAACAACAAAAAAGAAAGTTTTTTTTTTCCTGAGACGAGAAGGGTAATCCCAAATTTCTTGACGAAAGTTAATTTTCTTTCTGGAAATGGAAAGATGCCTCCTTTAAAAGTGCAGATCAAATGGTTGAGCACCTTAACACCGGAATCAGCGAAGGCTTAATGAATGATGATATATACCGGGAAGAAGGTGGCGGATAAGAATATGGCGCACTTTAGAAGACACGTGATATGAGTGAATAACGTGCGCCTGCAACTCGTACGCGTTGGGGGAGGGAGTACTGAGTAGGGTGTCACGACTGTTCTGTGGGCCTTGTGAAATAAATAATGTTTCGGATTGCAATAAGAAGATATATACATCCACCCATCCATCCATCAACTATTAAATTTAATATACTTTTATTTTATATCCCAATATTATGTAAAGTTCTTTTTAATCTATATATGTTATGATCTAAATAAGAATTATATTGGCAAATTTTCGATTCAGAAAGTACAAAATTTAATCTTGAAATTTGAGAAAATATAGTTTTTTAAATAACTATAAAGCATATTAAATTATTATTTTTAAAAGTTATAAAAAAACTATCAACTTTGTCCATTTAAAAATATCGCTATCCTGCTATCCGATATCTTAAATTTCAGAAGCATATAGAATAACCATATATATCTTTAATGTAATAAAGATATAAAAGAATGTGCTGAAATGGATCCATTCATAAATGTATTTATTTATTTATATATAATTATTATGTGGCTATCTTCTTGACGTGGAGTAAAGGAATCGGAAGAAAAGGAGAAAGACAAAATGAACGGAACGAGACCGGAAACACGTGAGGTTAAACGGGATCCGTTCCTGTCCGTTTTCTCATGTGAAATTACATCTATGCCCTTTTCTCTTCGCAATTTATCTCCAGTTGCCGTATTTTCAGAAACTGCGTTATTGCAGCGACAGCGATAAATAAAAAATTAAACTTCGTTACTTATTCTTTTTGTGTAAATTTTCAATAAAAGAGAAAATGTGTTTTATAATACAAGTGTTATAAAGAGGTAATAAAGAAACCGGCCATTATCAAAAATACCTTTACTTTATTATTCTTACTTCAATATATACATTCCTCCAATTGTGACCAATTAATCCAAAATATAATATGATCACATATTGATCTCATTATTCATAACGTTAAATTTATGATATTTTAATCAAATAATTAGTAAGATATACGATATATGAACATAATGAATTAATGAGATCACGATAAATTTAATGTTATAATCAATAAAATCAAAATGTGACCACACTATATTTTGGGTCATATGGATCACATGGTCACAGTTGAAGAAGCGTACGTGTTGAAGTAAAAATAACAAAATAAAGATATTTTTGATATAATGCCTAAAGAAACAGATAATTATTAATTAATAGCATATATAAAATTTAGTTACTCATTTCTCTATTCTTCATTTAAAATTTATAATAATTTGGGTTATTTATTTATTTACTTTAAAAACTTTTTATTTAATTTTACAAAATAAAAACGTATAAATAAGTTGAAAATTAATGAAAAGTTAATAAAAACGTCACATACGGAGGAGGATTATACCTTTTTCCTTCACATTTTGTGATGTTTATGCATTAAGAGGAGTATTTTTGGGTTTGCAACAAAAAAAAATATTATCAAATAGAAGGATAATATAGTCTATTTATAAAGGAAAAAAAAAAGAGAACGACAAATAAATATACCCCTTGTCTAATCTTTTTTCATGTCCCATCGACAAAACCTCTCAATGGTCGGTGAGGAAAACTTTTTTTTTTAATATTTAAACGCAACAGAATAATATTACAATATTACACAAAAATAAATAAATAAAAATCACATACGGACTATTTGTTATAAGCATAAAACAATTTCAGATGTAAAATATTTCGAAACTCATATAAATATTTTTTTTAGTGAACATGAAATGGAGGAATCATCAGGGTTTTGTCGTTCACACAGATTTCGGTATTTTAAAATTTTCCGAATATGATATATATAACAAAATATACGGAATGCATTGGACCGTATGTCAATAATAAAATTATTGGAAAAAATAAAAAAGGAGTTTTGGAAGTATTAGGGTTTTGGGTCAACATCTATGGAGAACAGCTTTTGTACTTTTTTTTATGCTGCCAAAACTTTATTTTGTTTTTATTATTTTTATTTATATATATATTTTTTCTGTTTGTCATTTTTGGGGGTTTAAATTTCACCACCTCATCTGTCCCTTTCCTATTTTATCTTCTTTGTCTTTTTCTCCTTTTTTTTTTTTTTTATCTCCTTCCTCCAAAATCATTTTATTTGTTGATGCGTTTACATAATTTTGTCGGCACAAAACACTACTTTTGACTATATTTGTTAAATATCTCTAAAATCTTTTTCATTTATTTAATTTTTGGGATGGACACGGATATAGTGTGATAGCACATGTGATATTTAATCATAGATTCGTGTAAAAATATAATCATTAAGATTAGGTATTTTTGATTTAAATTAAATTTAACAATATATAATTATATATAAATATTTTTTATTTATAAATCGATTAGAATGAATTTTTAAATTAATTTCATGTAATTTGAAATGAATATATTAATAATAAAAATTTTTGAAACAATTTTTGCAAAATAAATGGTTTATAAATTAAAGTTTAAGTTGGAATCATGGAAAACAATGATACAAAATTCTATAAAACTAAACAAATAAGATTTTAAAAATACTGAAAATTAATAGAAATGATAGGATTTAAACTCAATATAAAAATATCTGGATCGGTTCTTTACAATTTACATGGATCTAACGTACACTATTTGATTACGTTTGAGCGGATGTTAAATTTGACAAAAAATCAGAATCTTTATTTCGAAAACATTTTTTTTTTCACACAGTTTGTATATAAATCAATAAACAATTCAAACCGTAAAATAATAAAGTATGATATTTCTCCCAGTCATGTTGCCTTTAATATTGTTCCTCGCAATTATTTCACAAATGCAAGGCAACATACATACATACATACATACATACATACATACATACATACATACATACATACATACATACATACATACATACATACATACATACATACATACATACATACATACATACATACATACATACATACATACATACATACATACATACATACATACATACATACATACATACATACATACATACATACATACATACATACATACATACATACATACATACATATAATTTTTAACGTGAAATTAGATTGTTTTGACGACGCTCCATTTTGGGCTTAGTTTTTTGCACCTGAATTTTCTTTATAAGATGGCCCAATATTTGAATCGTGGCGTAACCCTAAGGTATAAAGCAGTTCATTTATTATACGACGCCGTTTACCCCAAAAGATGGTGGTATTATTTTTATTTTTCCCGCCAGGCACGGAAAAGTTGTGCCACGTTGGCAATCCTCTTGAAAAGCTTCTCGGCCAACCAGATCGCGTCCCTTGCTCTTATATAATATGTTCATGCTCCTGTGATCTCGCCTCCGTCATCATCGTCATTCGTCGATTCTGAAGCTGCTATTATCTAGGGTTTATCTGTAGCTATTGTGTTGTTTTAGAGTATTATCGAAGATGATTTCTGCTGGAGGCGTTGGTTCGACGAAGGGAGGGAGAGGGAAGGCCAAATCCACGAAATCAGTGTCCAGATCGCATAAGGCAGGGCTTCAGTTTCCGGTTGGGAGGATCGCGAGGTTTCTGAAGGCTGGAAAGTACGCCGAGCGTGTCGGAGCCGGGGCTCCGGTCTATCTCTCCGCCGTGCTTGAGTACCTCGCCGCGGAGGTAAGAGTTTTCGTTTTTTGTTATCTACATCGTCAAAATCTGGTTTGTTGTAATTTACGTTGTGGACATTTAGAAAATTCGATGGATTAAAGTTGGAAATCTTTTTCAATCCGATTAAATCTGAAGTTTCTAAGAGATCACCCGCACCTGGATCTGAAATGATGAATGGACATTATGTTGTATTTCAGATACTCTTCTTCTTCTTCTTCATAATCCGATTTTCGACCTTTGCGATTAGGTTTTGGAGCTTGCTGGTAATGCCGCGAGAGACAACAAGAAGAATCGAATAGTTCCGAGACATATTCAGCTAGCGGTGAGGAACGACGAGGAACTAAGCAAGCTTCTGGGCAGTGTCACGATTGCAAATGGAGGTGTTTTGCCCAACATTCATCAGCATCTCTTACCCACAAAGAGTGGCAAAGCAAAGGGCGATATTGGCTCTGCTTCTCAAGAATTTTGACTTTTTGATTTTTTTTTTCCTTCTGATTGTTCGGCTTTTGGGCACATGGAAAAAAATCTAGAATTTGATTTTCGAATCAGCTTCACTGAACCTCAGATCTTAATTCTGCTTGATTATTTGTTGATATGGTATTTGGTTAACTATTCATGGATCTGTTAGATGTTGAAATCTTTTTGCCGCCAGGTTTCTGATTGGCCTTGTTTTCCCCTCCGTCTTCATTTCAATGCACAACTTGGATTTCGTGATGGCATGTTCTGTTTCTTTGGGACTGGTCCGACTCCATTTGTCAACTCCGTCTTTGTCCGAAGCTCTGAATCTAATTTGAGCATCGAAAAAATCTGCAACAGATAACAATGCGTTGCATTGGATATACGACTTGTCAGAGGCAACACATTGGGAAACAAATTTGAGTTTTTGTATTCACATTGATGACTGCCGATAATCAGGCAGGCCTTGTCGTCATTCACCAACAGACCAGACTCCTATGCTTAGAGCATGGATGTTTTGAATGTTCAAAGTTAAGCTCCAACGTTATGTCCCTTCCCTACAGCAGCTTTGTACAGATCTTGAGCTGCTCTTGTAAAGGACCTGCCATCTTTCAAAGAACTTCTCATGCTTTTCTCATAGAACAATATTCCCTTCTCGGCTTTTCCAGAGTTTATGTAACCTCTGAGCATAGTACCGGCACAGGCACCATCCGGGCTTATACCCGCCTCCATCATCTGGCTATAGATTCTTTCGGCTTCAGACATCAGTCCCGCTTTTGCAAAAGCAGCCAGCAATGAACTGAAATGGCTCTGAGATGGCTGGATGCCTTTCTCTTGCATGAGAGCCAACACCTTCTCTGCTTCTGTGTACTGTGAACTATCGATGTATGCTTGGCTAAGGGAAAGGTATGTCAAAGAGTCGGGAGAACGGTCATCTCTCTCCATTGCTTGCAAAAGTTCATCAACCTCATGATGGAGTCCTCTGGTGGCACATATTTTGGCCATCATGTTGTAACTATGCTGCATATTTTACCCGGCAAAGACAACAGATTATCGCGTGTTCTCATTTCTCTCACAAAGTAAGTGTATCTTGTAATGTAAATAAACCTTCAAGGACAATTTGCCAATATACAAAAATCTTACCATTCCAGGTTTAATCCCTTTCTCCTGCATTTCAGCGAACAAAGCTAATGCTTCACTGATTTTCCCTGCAAAATGAGTGTAAGTAAATAAGATACACAATACATCAAAATTACTTTATGAAGAAAATACATGCGGAAGAAGTAACTTGGAGCCGTTCTGTTATCTAGCATTGGCCGGGTCAAATGCACTAAGACATGAGCATCTAACTCTCTTGACTCAAACACATACCAGCCTTTCCATAATGGGTAATCATATTCATGTAGATCTTCTCGTCAAGAGATACGCCCGAGTTGCAAGCTTTGCTGAAAACTTCTACTGCCTTGTCCAGTTGCTGGCCCCGCCCATAAACACTGCAGCGACCCAGGAACAAAACTAGAACATTTTATTTATTGCAAACTTGCATGTCTCTGCCTGTCTGTCTTAACATATGAAATAAGACTAAATTTATTGGCTTATATAATCTGAGACCGAGCATTGTTTTACCTGATCATCGTGCTGTAGGTCTGAATTGAACAAGCGATGCCTGAATTACACATTTGCTCATAAATTTCAGTTGCAAACTGCATTTTCCCTATGAACATATGAAGGTTGAGTAATGAGTACTAGTTAGCAGTTCTCTGCACCAAATACAGCAGAATGAACGTAGCAACCATTTCTACCTGCTTCTAGCATTGCCTTGATAAAGGTATTATACCCAACAGTGTCAAGCTCCACTTTTGTCTCAAGGCACTTGCGTGCAATATCTTCTGCTTCTCGGTGTCTCCCTGAGATTTGGTTAATATAATCAACAGCAAAACATCCTTTACGTTGTGAACAAGAATACAGAAGAAGATGGGAAATAATGTTTATTAGGACTCCAGAATATCTGCTTGAAAAGTAACCATCATCAACTTGAAAATGAGGCTATAACTTCACATTATCTAACAATCTTTGACAAAGATTTCGTATCATGTGCTATTGTTTTGGATTGTTCAAGATTGAGACCATGCATTCTCCAAAATCTCTGGAAGGAAAACACATTTTCCATTAGACATACCTCGATTTGTGAGGGCGTTCACCAGAATGCTGATTGTTACTGCACCTGGGATGTCATGGCCCTTTTTGGCTGATTCCATAAAAAGTCCATATGCATCCTCCAGCCAATCACATCTGACATAAGCGTCAATCATTGAGCCGATAATCAATTTACTCAACATTAACGATTCCCCTGCTGCATGAAAAATCCGTTTCGCCTCTTTTAGCTTCTTTTGCCTCCCATATACAACAATCAGTGCAGATATGGTTTCCTCCTCTAGCCTGAGTCCTAGTTTGATAATCAAATCAGCAAGATTTTCTGCTTTAGATACATCACCTACATAAAAAGACTGAAGTCAGACTTCAAGCAATTAATACAGTAAATTTTCAACCTACAGAGCTTCCCACAAAACCAATGGACCAAGATTCAGAAAATAGTTCTCACCATCTCTGATAAATCTGCTAATGACTCGATTTACTGCTGATGAACCAAATTTTGTCTTGAATAATAAGCTTAAGATTTCCTCAGTCTCATTGGAATTGCCCTCAGTCAAACGCAAATCAAGCAGCATCCCAAGGGCCGTGGGGTCAAGTTGATTTAGGTTTGCAACTTCATATTTCTCAAGCACAATGCTTTTGCAATGCATAGCCTTTGTAAGCGTTCGAACAAATTTATTGTTCTTAAGCACATCATCTGTACCCATTTTCTCTACCAACTCTTGAGCTTCTGCAACCATTCCCTCCTCGCAATACAGTCTCATCACCATCTTGTAGAGCTCTATATCAAAATGCACTTGATCTGTCATTATCTGCGTGACAAATTTCTTTGCTTCTTGCAATAAATTGAGTCTAATATACAAATTAAGCATGTCGGTACAAGAACCAGCATCCGGAAGTCCAGTTTTTGATAGTGCTCGAAATGCTTCCTCAGCAGAGTCTACCTCCCGTCTCTTGACATAGCACTGCAACATGACAATATAGGCAAATCTTGAAAGGGAAAAACCTCTAGAATTCATCATTTCGATTATGTCTAATGCTTTGGCAACATTTCCTGAATTCAAGTAGACTTGGGCCATTGCTAAATATGTTTTCTCATCGTTAAGAAGCTTCAGGCGTTTGGTCTCTTGAAAGACATTCTCCGCATCATCCAGAAGTCCGAGCTTACCGTATATTCTGATAAGCAGTCCACGTATTACCTCATCAGCAGGAGTTCTATGTCTTTCCATATCCTTAAAGAGAGAAAGAGCTTTCGGATAATCCTCAGTTTTGTAATACAACGTCAACATAGAAGCACAAGTATAGTTGCTTGGAACTATTTCTCGAGATCTCATCTCCTCGTACAATCCAATGGCCTGATCCCAGTTACCATCTTTGACACATAAGCCAATAAGCAGACTGTAAGTTACTTCCTCTGGGACGAATCCCATGTTTCTCATCTCACTGAAAGCCTTAAACGCCTCCTCAAGAAAACCCTTTTTGGCATACGAGCTAACGACTAATGTATATGTAAATTCGGTGGGTGGGACACCATTATTGGCCATTCCTAGCCACATGTCTATCACTTTCTCATGGAGCGACTTTTTCTGCAGAGACGAAAGCATGAAATTGTAAACAGAAGTCGAGAGAAGCATCCCTCTTTCTTGAACAGCTTTGTAGAACGTCATCATAGCCTTATGGCGTCCCCATCTGGCATATGTGCACAGCATAGTACCACATGCCACTGCATCGGGTTCGCATCCCACTTCGAGCATTTCCAAGAAGGCCTCCTCAGCCAGTTTTATCTTTCCAACTTGCCCATACAGACGGAGAACAATCGTGTAGACAACCACACTCGGACGGTAGCTTAACTGTTGAGCAGGAATTCTATGTCTTTCCATATCCTTAAAGAGAGAAAGAGCTTTCGGATAATCCTCAGTTTTGTAATACAACGTCAACATAGAAGCACAAGTATAGTTGCTTGGAACTATTTCTCGAGATCTCATCTCCTCGTACAATCCAATGGCCTGATCCCAGTTACCATCTTTGACACATAAGCCAATAAGCAGACTGTAAGTTACTTCCTCTGGGACGAATCCCATGTTTCTCATCTCACTGAAAGCCTTAAACGCCTCCTCAAGAAAACCCTTTTTGGCATACGAGCTAACGACTAATGTATATGTAAATTCGGTGGGTGGGACACCATTATTGGCCATTCCTAGCCACATGTCTATCACTTTCTCATGGAGCGACTTTTTCTGCAGAGACGAAAGCATGAAATTGTAAACAGAAGTCGAGAGAAGCATCCCTCTTTCTTGAACAGCTTTGTAGAACGTCATCATAGCCTTATGGCGTCCCCATCTGGCATATGTGCACAGCATAGTACCACATGCCACTGCATCGGGTTCGCATCCCACTTCGAGCATTTCCAAGAAGGCCTCCTCAGCCAGTTTTATCTTTCCAACTTGCCCATACAGACGGAGAACAATCGTGTAGACAACCACACTCGGACGGTAGCTTAACTGTTGAGGTAAAAGTCTATCACTAAAATTTTATTAATCTCAACTCAAAATTTTGAAACCCAGGCCAAAGTAAGCAGAATCAAGCAAAACACTGATCACACAAACAACTATATGACCAACAACAAAGCAGAGACAAGCACCTCAAGCAATTATATATGTCATTGTCCTATGCTTTTGGTTTTGCTATAAATCCAAGCCTTGAAAACATCAGATTTTCAAGTAACTGTCTCAGACGAAGCTAAAAGGAAACTCGACATACAACTTAATCATTTAGCAACAAGCAAACCCGTATGAAATCGAGACAAGTACCTGAAGTCATGAGATTCTAAGTTAAATTCAAATGTATCAACTACGCAATTTTACAACATTAATCCAGATATCCACAATAAACTCGGAAGCAATTCAGAAACAAGCAAAACCCAGAACCCAGATGAAAAGGAGGCAGAAAAAATACCTGCAATTTCATCCAGGCAAAGAAGTCTCGAACTTGTCTCCAACCCTTCTGCTCCTTCAACACAACGCACATTTCCCTGAAACTCAGCTTCCCGACAAAACTACTCATCACAACCCTAATATCACCACTTCCCTGTCTCTTCCCTGCCATCCCTCTCACCGCCTTTGTCGCCGCCACGACATGCTTCCCGTACATCTGCCCGTTCCGATCATCCTCCAAGTACTGAACCATCTGCTCCGGGGTCCGCTTTATCCATTTGGGCGTCATGGCGCGTGAGCCCTGGTTCCTCCGCAACACGCTAAGGTACTCAGCCTTCTTCTTTATGATTCGACGCGCGTCGTCGTCCGACAGAGGATGCTTCGGTCTCTCCCATCTGGGCTTAGGTCTCTGCGGGTTCCCGTCGCTGAGAGACCACGGGTCGGGTCGAACTGCCGGAGAAGACGAGGACCTTATAGATATTTTGGGCTTTCTCGAAGGTATTTTGGGAAGATAGATCGTAGGACGGAGGTGAGAAGTGGAAGAGAGGAAGTCGCTCTTCATGGTTGCTTCCGATTTCTCCGGCGAGATTTCGGGCGGAGTTTCGCCGGCTATGGAGTGAAACTTTGCCGGGAAAATGGCTCGATGGATATCAGAAAGTACAAATATTATATTTTACCAATATTGGGACGATAAATCGACGGTTCAGATCGAATCTCAATATCAACGGTAAGATCGTTTTACATTGATCCAACGGTCCATATATTTCTCGAACCGACGGCATGGATCACTCTGATTAATTCGACGGTCCAGCTTTGTTATGACAGATCAAACGATTTGAATCAAGTCTAATAATCGACGGTTGAGATCGTTTCGTAGTAATCGACGGTCCAGATTCGTTTTGATAGATCTATAGAATCAGACTGGAAACCTTGTCCTAACGAATCATTTCATTTTGGGCAACTTTTAACAGGTAAAAATGAAAAAACAAAGTAAAAAAAAAAGGGCAAAGTGGGAATACACTTAATGTCGTTACCAAAGTTTTTACAGTGACTTACGTTTTACATAGTCTCTGAAAGCTGAAGAATCTTTATACCCTTTCCTTCTTTGAAACCAGAAACTGAAAGTATCAGGCCTTGACCCGAACCACAAATGAACCTGTGAGCATGGAAAGATGGATATAAACCAAGCAATTAGGCTCCTCATCATTCATAAACAAAAACCCAAATCCCAGAATCACAACACCAACAATGCGAATAAGATTTTAGAGAACGATACCACAACAACGCCTTAATCCCAGGTTCATTTCGGTTTTAGAGAATGATTTTCTCGAAAATTTTCCTGCTCGATAGAAAACATTACAGGTGGATTTAAGGAACTCACAGGCGGGAAGGTTTGATATGTCGGCAGAAACAGCACAAGGGATTCCCAGATTAGAGAGAGCACCCCTTATGATTCCACAAGGGAAATACAGATACATGCTCACTGCTAGCTCTTCCTTGCTTTCTCCTGCCTTTGAAGGATCTTCACTTTCCTTCCCAGACAAAGGGTCAATCGAAACACGTGATAGCCACCTGAACCTGTTGTCTTGCAATACAAATGTACCCTGAAACATACACAAGATTGAGGAGAATATCCCTTTCACTTCAGATTCCCCCCCGAAAAGATTAAGAAAGATCTTACCTTGTGATTTGTCTTCAAGTTGTCTATCTGCTTCTTGAAGACCTCAAACCAGAAGTCCTTGCAGATGAACTTGATTGCCTCGAGATGGTCATTAAACCTTGGTCTCTCCATTGTGTATCTAATCACAGAAGGGCCATGCTATTATTACACACATTCAAGCGAGTTGAAACATTTGCTACTGGACTCTCTTTGTTTGGATGTATGGCATTGTAAACTTAGTCATAAGTGGCCAAACACCTTCTGAAGCTGTCAGAATCTGATCCCATCAATATCATAAGTTTTCTTCGCATATGCAAACTTCATACTTCAAGATAATTTCATATGTTGATTGCAAAGCGGGGAGCTCCTTGCGGTGACATTGAAAGAGAGAATGGGGAAATCAAGTTAAAGGGCATTGAGAAACTAAATCAAAGGCGCATAAACCGGTCCAAATTAACCTAGAATTTCCCCGTCTTTCCACAGTTCATCTGTCCCGAAACCCCAAATTTAACGACAGAATACAAACTCCGAATGCAAATCACAGAACTACAATCCCCAAACGACACATCAAAGTAAAAAGAAAAAACGCCATCACCACCTAATAATCAAAACACACATCAACCTCAGATCTACAACCAACATTACGATCTGAGAAAAAGGTTATCTGCGGAGAAAATCAGCGTGCCAAATCACTGGAAATGAAATCAGAAAACAGAACAGGATCCGAGAGAAGACGACGCGAACCTCTCGGAGAGCTGGTGGCCGACCTGGTAACCGATAGCCTCGATTCTCCGGGCGGCGAGCTCCGGCTTGTTGGCATAGAAGCGATCGCAGTACATCGCCACCATCTCCGTCAACAGAGAATCCACACAGCTCTCAGCCACTTCTCTCCCCATTTTTCTCTCTCTCTTCCTCCCCCCGGACAGTAAGGGCTCCGATCTAATGGCAGAGGAAACAACAGAGAAGGATCTATATTTAATTAATATTGTCAATGTAGTCACCAACGTTTCAGATGAACAAATTTGACCTTGATTGAGTATATGTAATTTATTTATTTAAATTTTAATTTATTTTCTATTATTCAGGGCAATAGAATTTCTTCTTGTAAATCAGTCAGCAGATTTATTGATAATGAACTTGAACACTTTAATTTAAGTGTAATCGGATAAATTGTAGTCAGTTTTAATGGACCTTACTTGTTTTATATTTCCAAAACAATAACCATAATAATATTTTATTGGTATCGTTTTTAATTAATTATTCAGTGCATTTATCAAAGAATAAAATATAATAATAGTGAAGGAAAAAAATATTATTTCTAATTCTCTATGCATAAAATTGTTGGAGAATTTCAAATGGTCATTTATCTATGACAATTTCAAAGGGGGTGATAAACCTGGAAGAGGACAAGAGACATGAGTTTGACACTAACGTTGTCTTCTCTTTTTTTTTTCTTTCTTTTTAACCCAATCATTATGAAAAAAAAAACACACAAAAAAGCATCGTGTAAGGTAATAAAAAAAAAACACAAAGCTTACAAGGGGATTTAAGCACATGATGAACAACACATAAGTGCCGGTTCCCCCAAGGAGCTCCTCTCCTCTTATATGTGTGTGTGTGTGTGTGACCAACCTTGCACATGATGCTCCTCTCTCTCTCTCTTTTTTTTTTATAAAAAAAAACTCTTCCTTCTCGATTAATTTATATTTTGCATATACAACAACAACAACAACTCTCTTTGTTCTCACAAAACACTGGCCAGTCCAATTGTATCCCCTTCGTCTTCTTTAGTTTCTGAAGAAGCACTTCGTGTCCTTGCTGTCATCAGTCATGGAAATATCTCTCTTTTACACACACAAAATAAAACTTTTAAGAGACTGGAGCAATATGCATGCACTTACAGGTGACATTGGTGATCACATTGAGGGATTTCTGAGCAGAAAGAGCTCTCAGGTTACTCCCTGAAGCTACCAATAACAAGCTCCTCATCAGCTGCTTCTGCTCTTTTGGGCTTGATGTTTTCCCCACCGCTTCTTCAAATGCTTTCATGTCTTTTTCAGACAGACACGGGAGTGACATCAACACCTGTTGCCCCTCCCCCCCCAAAAAAATAAAATAAAATATAATCATATCAACACCCAGAGCCTCATGCCTCCTTCATGTTTCTGCTTCATCGCGTTTGGACTAAGACTGTCTAGAATCGAAAGCATAAATATCGAAAAAACTGACCTGTCGGGGAGATGGGTCTCTATCAGAAAGATAGATAAATATTTCTCTGCATAGATTAACCAAATCAGCGCTGTTCACTGCATTAGACTCCATTGCTAAGCCCCTGATTACTGCAGAGAACAAATCTTTCGACACAAATTCTCTGAGCTCCACATTATCGGTCAGTATGGCCAGATGAACAACAACCCCACAAAAGCAACATACTTTTGTGGTTGTTTCCCCATCGGTCCATGTGAAGACTTCTAAACAGATCTGCAACGCCGGTAAAGCCACGTTCTTGTGATTCAGAAGGAAACTGCAATAAAAATTTATTGTTTAATTCTTATTTCATCCAAATGTTTCGATTCAAAAGATCCCAATCAGAGATTTTTAGCAAAACGGGCTTAGCACACATACCCCACCATAGAGTTGGATCTGAAAGCATGCAAATCCTTGAGACAAGACATGTCCACACTACCGACGTGGCCTGATTGCTCCAAAACAGGAAGCCCATTGTTCAATCCAGGAGATGCCATTATTGAAAGGAGAGAACCAATCTCCCTGGTTAAATCTCTTAGCAGCTTTTCCTCCATAACTTCGAGTTTCAAGTCCGGGCCACTTTGTACGCCGAAGGAATCTGGAACCTTGGCTCTGCCCTCATGCAGGAGGCCAGACCAAGAGGAGCTAACAGCTTGCTGACAATGAACAAATAGTGGGTGCAGGAGGATTTCAAGCCAAGACTCCCACATATCCGCCGGGCAGGATTTCACTAGATGGACTACAAATGAATGAATAAGCTGTCGTATGTGCCTGAACTCCATTGACTGTAAGTTTTCCATGAGTGCCACCGCAACATAATTAGGATCTAAGCATTTGAAGAACGTGTCTCCTATGGTTGCTGACAGACCCAATACATAATATCTGCGTAGGTGGAAAGAATTTCAACATCAAAATTGATGAAGTTTAGATGATGATTAGCCGAAAGAGCAGAAAAATTAGATACTTTCATGTAAAATCCCAAAGGAGAATACTTCATACTCACCCACTATCCCGGATTCCTTTCAACCAATTTCGTATATCAGATTCATTCACCTCGGGATTTCCTTCCTTATCGAGAGATCCATCCACATAAATCGATGAGCCTTTTGGCAGTTTAGGATTTGCTTCTCCAAGAAGACTGCGTCGCTCAACATCAGTCATTGTCATTGCTGCTCTAATTTCTGTGGGTAATGTTTGATATACAGAGGGAGACCAAATGTAATGGATAACACGGAGCAGCTGCAGATAAGCAAGAGAAATGAATGTCATCATGTCATGCTTGCGAAGAAAACATCCCTAGGGAGGTCTAGTCGCATCCCATATAGCACTTAGAGAAAACTAATTATGGATTGACAAAAGCAAATCCAAGTTTGAAAGGGCAATGTATACTTTTATGAGAGGTGGCAACATCCAAGAAAGGTGAGAAGCCATAGGATGCAAAGCCGGACTAGTTGAAGTGGGTGTGTTCGAGTTGCCTTTTCTATATCCACTTCTCTTGAGTGCCTTCTCAAAGAAAGTAACTGTGTGGAATATAGACCACATGAAGGGTGTGTTGGAGCATAAACGAACAAGACCCATAGGGTCAGATAGGTAATTGTTCTGCCACTCTGATTGGATCCACTGTTGGCTCAATGGTTCCAGTAACCAAACAAGAATTTCTTGCTGCTGTTGAGGTCTGCACCAAAATCAAATTGTATTATAACGATATGGCGAGTGTGAATCTGGATGAGTAGAACATATTCAACTTTATCATGGTTGACATATTACCCAGCTGCAGAAGCCATCACAAGAAATGCTTCACCCAATATGTTGTGCTCCCCACGGAGCAAGGTTCCTTCTCTTTGCAAATAACCCATTGTATCAGCTATACCCTACACAAAGAGACATGATGGTAAACATAAAAGCTATGTCGCATGTTAAAGATTTCATTGAGAGAGGAAAATAAGAAACAAAGCTAAAGATAAATTGTGAAAACAGAGATGGCCGATAAAGTTATGGTTGAAACACTGCAAAGTAGTCATGTAATTATAAAATCCTTCAGCACCAATTGTAATTAAAATGACAATATGGTTCCCAACGGCTACGGTTTACTCATATCATCAATACTCAAATATAATGAGAGTTGATTCATCAATTTCAGTTCACAAAAGTAATAAAAGAAAATAGTGTATTACAATGATGATTAAATCAACCAACAAGGGACAATCGGTTGCTGTTAAATTGTACAAAACCAGACAGTCCCTATAGAAATCCTGCAAGTGAACAACCAAGTCATGGAGTTTCCTTGCCGCTTGAATATGGTTTTCTTACTCCAACAAAGACTTAAATATGAGTATATCCATACATCACACTGCATGGACTTACTGAATCTTGATCATATCAATGATTTCCAGCCTTAAGAGCAAAAACAAGTTTCATGTACCTTTTTCTATAATTTATTTGGGATTTTTAAAGGCGGGTGAGATATTACCTTCATGTGAGGCAGAATGCTTTTGTCAGCAGCTTTTGCTATGCGTATAAAAGATGTACAAATCTGTAATCTAGCAATTCTAGCAGTACTAGTCGCTGGATCCTGCCAAAAAATGTGCTATGAGAAAACTTATCCATGCCTTAACCCTAACCACAACCCACCATATATCTATATATAACATAACAAGAAGAAACCTTCACAATGTGTGGTAGACAGGTAAGAAGTTCAAACAATTTGTTGATAACACTTCCAACTGCATCTGGAAAATACTTGAGAAAAGGACCCATCGCATCTAAATAATGCCCAAGCACTTTTATAAGTTCTGGTTCTGTCCATTTCAAAGTGAGAAGCTGCTGAAGCAACCCTGGCCATCAACAATACAACGAGTTTTTAACAAGTCTGAGAAAAATGAACAAAAACTGGAAGGACATGAAAGATGCTGCCAAAAACCTTCAAATATTCCACGCAATGCAAAATGGACTTCAGCACTACCACCAGCAAATTCGTTCAACCCATCAAAAACTACTCCCACAATACATTCCAGAGCCAATTGCTGGCCGTCAAGCACCGCTAGGTCCTGAAAAATAAATATTTGCTTCACGAATTAATGAGAACTGGATCATCAAAACCCCAGATTAACCAAAGTCTGAGATTTACATGTTTATGAGAGAATTCAACGGACAATAATTAGTATTTGTAACAAAACCTGAAGTGGTGCCGGAGAAACCAATAGATTCCTAATGAGCATGACAACCCTTTCAGATATTTTAGTACTGGCAATGAGGGGCTTGTGAGAAGAAATAAGCTTGACTAATTCCAACTGCACCAAAAAAACAAGTTTTGGATTAAATACACAAAAGGATCATATGTTAAGTAAGACATGATGCATTTGGTTCAGGAACATACAAGCCTTGATCGGTACTGTCCAAAGTCTCCCTTTCCTTCAAACTCATCACTCCACAATTCTAGTGGTCCAAGAGAAGGCACAATTCCAGGAGGGACTTTCTCTTTCTTGAGCATCCGCTGGAACGATACATCCAGGATTGAACTAGAGATATCATCATTAATAAGACTTAAAATCTTCTTCTTTTCATTATTGGTCTGTCCTGAACTGTCGCCATCACCAACTGCTGATCCATCTCCGCTTGGATTAGCAGAAGCCTTGGGCTTTGACAGTAAATCTCTCAGCAATGCCTATACGCCAAGAAAGAAACACAAAGTTAGCGACAAATATACCAAATCCTCGCACAGATGGGTAGAATGGAGCGAGATTGGGCAGAGAAGTCCAAATACCACCCAGAAGAGCAGTGCTTCAAAGTGAAGACCCAACTTGAAGTGTTGGAAATAACCAAGCATCTAAGATAAAAGAATAAATGGTCAGGTAAGAAAAATCATTCATGCAAGTGGATAACAGCAGGTAGAAAATAAAGAAACAAATGATTCTAACCTATACACTGACTCGATAGATATAAGTATCGAGAACATGGTTCACACGTGCCTAGAAGTTCTATTAAACCATAAAATCACCAAATATCAGTGAATTTTAGGTGCGGAGAGACATCAACTAACATACAGAGTTTAGTATTAATCTCCCTCACGCTCAGTTCATTCAAGAACAACATGAACATACGAGCTCTGATTGCAGCTGGATTAGGCTCCAGGTGGAAGACATTCTACTGTAAATAACCCAGCCTGTTCATCTTTGAGGCTTTGCAAGAACGAGAGAGAAAATTTCATATCTCCGCTACTAAACCTCTAATTCAACAGAAAAAGAAATAAGATTTACAATGTGAAATCAGTACCTGTTGCAAGTATAGAGCTAGAGCATTGCTATCTGTGGCAATACATTGTAAGCTCATTGAACCTAAAGAGACCAGACTTTCACATATACACTCAGCGAACTCATAACCACTGTCATCGATAACCCCAGCATTTGAGGCCGACTGGTGTAAGAATTCTCTGGAGACATTCATCAAAATCTGAAAGACACTGCTGATTGCAGAATCATATTCAGCACCAGAAGCATCACTGGGTCTTTTTCTGCAGACAAGGCAAGTTTTTTCTTAAACAAATAAGTGATGATTAATGTTTCTTATAGCTTAAGAAAATCAGATCTGACAGCCAAGTTGCACACCTTGAGCACACAAGTTTGAAAAACTCGCAAGCATGAAGACGGAAGTCAGGAGAAGAAAGTAAGAAGCCACACCTGTTATGAGTTTCATTCACATGTGCACAGTAAGAAAGCTATACAAGGTTTAGATTTATACAATAATTCCTGAAAAAGTGCAAGAATGTTACCCATTGACAATTCCATATGAAGCAAGATCTGGTACAGGAGCCCATTCTGCATATGCATTGATGGCATTTAAACAAGCTATAACTGCGGCTGCATGCTGTTTCGCTAAGTCAACTTGTTGACGATTTGCTTCATTCATCGCAGCTCCAAAGTGACTTTCAAGAAGCTGCACAGGGATTCATTCATTAAACATCCACTACAACAAACAACTCTATTGAGAAAAGAAAACAGTGACATACATTATACAATAAAGGTAAAATCTCAGGCAAAGATTGAGTCAGCCCACGCAGCAGAAGCCTACGCCTGTCACCTGATGAGACAGTTGAAAATGGAAGTTAGGAAGGAGGGAAACAGTTCAGATGGGGGCAAAAGAGAGGAACCTAAGAGGTAGTTTCCCTAAAACTGACTGAACTAAATCAAATTGACGAAATAATACCCCGCCAGATTAAACTGTCATTGTTGAAAAAAGTCTAATTGTGACATGGAGAACATGCAAATCATAACGTATATAACGTTTTGGAAGAGACACAGTATTAATTATAGATACCTTCCAAGTCTTCATTGTGAACTGTAATATCTTCAGGAAGCCATCTCAGCATCATCGCAACCAGTTCAGCCTTATATTCAACAGAAAACATGGAAATAATTTTAATGAATGTCTTGATACAAGAAATTAACAAACTATAAAGATAAGGGAGTATCGCACCTGTAATGGACCCTGGGTAGACAAGGAAGCTAGGGATGGAAACAACTCCTGCCAAAGATTAGGGCCTTCTCTTCTAACTATCTGCAAAGACATATATGTATATCACTACCAAAACAGAAACAAGAACCGCAAATGGAGAGGGCAAGTGAGAACTCAAAGAACTTAGTAACTCCAACGGTCCGACCTCAGCAACAAGGGCAGCTGTTTGACTCTTAAGGGGCCATTCCTCACATGGATTAGCAACCTCGGACATTAACTCAACAGACACATTAGCAAAATTCCTGCGCTCTTGGGGGCTCAACAGCTCCCACCGTAGTCTAACCAAATGCTGCAAGAGACAGGTGTATCATAAGGTTACCACAGCCATTCTGGTACGTAAATTGCAACCATCGGCACAAAACATGCTGCATTGGGCCATTACATAAAGACAGTTTTTCTTTTCCAAAATCCAAATACCAAATTACTTTCATAAGGATACTAAATATACATACATCGTAAAAAAAAGTTGATTCACAATTTTACACAATCCTCCAAATTTGACTTGCTTTCCAATTTTTTTTTCTATCTACAAATTATCTCATCTCCTAGTACGGAAAAGTTTTGGAACCGACCGTCCTAACTATTAAAAACGATAAATAACTTAGGAATTGAAACTCCACGTCAAAAGCCAACTGATGACTCTTGGTGCTCCAATCAAGAGTTCTATATCCATTCCTTTAGGTTTAACATATTGTCAATTAACAGCAATTTTGATGGATAAGACGAGAACAATTCAAAGTACTGCAACTTAGCACAAACCTGTAACATTTTGAAGGCATGCAAACGAATCTCTGAAGACCAATCCTTTTTGACAAGAAGAAAGGAAATACTGGCCAAAACCCTAATATCTCCAGATTTTATCTGCAAGTGTAGTATAAAATACATATAGCTCAATCAGAACAACTACAAAGACATTCTTGGCACAGAACCGACATATGATTAAAAAAACACAAAAAGCGAAAAACTCAGGCAGGCGAGTTCAGTAAAAGATATCATTCTCCTGCTACAAAGCATCATCAATTCATAACCACCTCGAATTAACATTTAAACAAGAGCTCGAAAGACTCTCTCTTTCATTCCAGAAACAAATTCTTCAAGCAGGGCCACTATAGTAATCCAAACCTTCAACACACTTCGAATCGCATAACCTTGGCATTCCCATAGAAACCCCATAAAACGCGACAGAAGTAATCAAACACAGAACCCTAGAACCGTAAAAGAGTGGCAAAGCGAATTTCACTTAACCCGCCAACTACATCACACATACATGTTTAGCCACATACGCGAATCGATCACAGCACAAACAATGGAGAAGAAGCGAGGAAATCAAATAAATTTTTTACAGATTCCAGGAATGCGACGGCGGCTTTGCGAGCGTCGGGCGTGGAGTTATAATCGAGGACGGCGAGAATCGCCCGTGCCACATTGCTGGCCGTGATGTTGCCGCCGTTGCTGTCGTCCATCGCCGCCAGAGAGAAGCTTCAATTCTCAGAAACCAGACTACGATCGAGGATTGGCTGAGGGAGATTGTTCACTGTTCTTCTCCGTCGTACAGATTCTGCAACCCGGCGAGAGAGAGGGACTGGAACTTTGGTCGTGTTTTAATGGGGTTTTAACACGAACCATTTTGGGGTTTATTTGCCTAAAAACCTTTATTTTTATGTTGTCATTAACGCCTCTAACTTTCTTATAATTTTAAAATGGCCCCTATAGTAATGAATTACTCAACATTTTGGACATTTATTAAAAGATGCAGATTTAATTAGATAAATAGATAGATAATTAAAATTTTACAAAGATATTTGTTGACAATTGTGTTTTCTCTCGAAAAAACATGAAGATTAAAATTTTCTCCTTTATGAAAGAAAATTGAAAATTACATAAAATAGAAAAACAATTTCCTATCGAGTCCAATGTTGAAAACCTCCTATTTTATTTCATGGACCGACTTTCTCGTATGGAATAATAATATAAACCCTCGAGATTTTAAATTATAATTTATTTTACCCTTCAAAAAATACATTCATTTTTCTTAGCTGTTATCAATAGATAAATTAAATCTGATTTAAAGATTATATTTTTTAGTTAAAACAATTACGTGTTCAACCTTGACGGATCAAACAACGCTTACCATGCAAAATGACGAAGAGTTTTACGTCCGTACACGCCCTACGAACAAAAAAAAAAAATAATAACAACAAAACCTAAATTCTGTCCTGTGTTCTTTTCATTCATCACTCTTCTTCTTCTTCTTCTTCTCTTTCTTCTTGGCTGGCATTTCCGGTTCTTCTTCTTCTTCCTCGTGCTTTCTCTTCTTCTTCTTCTTCTTCTCTTCGCCATCCTCTTCTGCTTCTGCTTTCTTCTTCTGCTTCTTCTTTGATGGTTCTTCAGTTTCAGTTTCTTTTGCTTCGGCTTCTACTTTCTTCTTCTCCTTCTTCTTCTTCTCGTCTTTCTTCTCATCCCTCTCCTTCTCTCTCTTCTTCTCCTCGTCTTCTGCTGCAGATTTAGGCGTTTGCCCGAGAAATGAGTCTGCAGCAGTGTTGTAAGTCTGCAAACAACATCATCAATCAAAAGCTCATTCAATATCAACAGCAACATAGTATTAATCCCTAAGTTTATTTAGAATAGGCCGTATGAATTCTTTGTTTCCCACTCGTTTCGATTTTGAGTTAAATCTTCCGAATAATTAGTGAAGAATCTGGTTCTGACCTTAGCAGGAGTGATGAGAGCGCCGGATCCTGCCTTTTTATCCTTATCATAGGCCTCAATCTTGGGTTTGCCTTTGGATGAACCAGACAACCGTCCTAAATCTCTTCCTTCAAGATTTCTCAACCGTGCCTCAAGCTGTCCAAAATCAATCAGCAGACATCAGAAAAAAACGAGGACCCGAAAATTGAAATCGACGATTAGGAGCAGAGTTCATAACAAAACAGTATATAACCCAAAAGTACCTTAGCACGGTTCTCGAGTCCCATACTGTTATCTTGGCCGTCGCCCAGAGCATCACACCTAATAGCAAGAGCGGCTTTTGCAGCTAATGATCGAGAGATCTTGCCCTTGTGCTTTGGTGCCGCTTGCCCAACCACCGATGCATGGTATATCAGACCGTACTTCGGGGTGTTGTGCTTTGTCTTGAGCGCCCTAAAGAGAGCTTTCTCCGCTCCAAGAATCTGAACCGTGCTGCCGGGTTGCTTTGCAAGGTTCAACAGACTACCACCATGAGCGATTAGACGAGCACCGACAAGTTCCCCGACGAGGGCAGTCAGGTTTGGGGCAATGGTGTTCATTCTGCTCTTTAAGTAGTCGTAAAGCTGAGCTCTGTACTCAGAAAGAGACAGAACCTGGTCACATAGTTCTCGGATGTGCATCAAGTCAAGGTCGCTCACTTCAGTTCCCATAGATATGACAGCTGCTTCCTTCAGCTCTGCCTCAACTTCCTCTGGCAATATCTGAGATTGAAACCGAGAACAGAAGAAAACGGATTTTAAACAAGGCACTTTTGGATTATGCAAGTTATCTATAAAGAACAGAGATTAGTAAAGAGGGTTCACCTCAGAGAGGTCTAGCTTTGCAGCATTCGTGCGGTTGCCCATCAATTTAACTGTTTTGGCATACATGATATTGTCTTGTACAATCTTAGCGAGCTCGGGAAAATGCCAACCGTACCATTCCCGGACCCTCATGGCATAGGTGTTAAGCTCTTTGTCGAGATCATCAAGCAGGCCGATGGCTTGAATTATCATTGTGTCCACCTGATAGGAAGTGATGTATTATAACGACAACAGCTTAGAAGATGAAGGTGGAATGAAGGCCGATACAAAATCAACAACTTTGACCAAAGAAATACCTTATCAGGACTGAACTTCAGCTTATATCTTGCGAGGCTATGAGACAAACCCAAGCTCATTGGAGCCAAATCTTGATCAGCCAGACCAGAAATGAGTTCGGTAAGCTGGCTTCTCACCCCTCTTAGAAGCTCCATAACAGCAGAGTTGTGAACACATTCTATTTTCTGCACCAGTTTAGAGCTTTTGTTCATAAAACAACACATAAAGATGAAGAAGAACATGCTAGAAAACTCCAACTTAAAAGGACATTTAACGGACCAGTTTCTCCTTAATCACATTTCCAAGCTTTGAATCAGCCACGGCCAATGCTTCACCTTCACAGTTAGCTTTCAAGAACTTGCGCAGGCCTTTGCTAGGAGCTCCCTCCATCAACTTAGCAGCTGCTTCAAGAGCTTCAGACGTGTTCTCAAACTTGTTGAAGGCCTTTAGCTTAACCACCTGAAACACCAAAAACACTATGAGAAAACTCGGGCCAAACATTTTTCGTTACGGCAGAAGAGAACAAACATTCGATTTGACATAGTCCAAACCCATATGGAAAATGCATTGGAAACGAAACCAGAAACAGGGCATTGATCGAACAGAAGATAAAAAAATCACAAGCCAACATATGCAACAAAAAGACCACCTTTCGGGCAGAGTCCGCTGTCAAGAAATCCGTCCCCAAGTCCTGGAAAAAACCAAAACCGACACATTTCAGGAAAAAAAAACGACAACAAAATGAGATGAGCAACTGGTTAAAAGGAAAAAAGCCTGAACAAATCCACTGAATGAAGATAATCACCTCAACTTTAGAGAGCTTTCCTTCATCTAATACTTTGAAAAGGGCAAATCCCGCGGGCGTCTCGAACAGAACGAGCATTTTCGCAAACCCTTAAGGCAGCACCTGAAAAACCGATTGAGAGACACCTTCAATCAGCACACAAAGAAAATATACATCGTCTCCACAACCAATAAACTACACTCTGGTGAAATTGACAAAGAAGTGGCAAGCAAAAGTTCACGTCTTTAAAGCACAAACTAGTAATAAAACACGTTTCACAAATACCCTTTTCTATGCGCTTAGCTCAAGTATCATACTTTCCATCAAAACCCAAGAAACCATCAAACTCAATCAAAGTTCTCAAAAAACCCACCTTACTCAGAACCAAAATCGGCGACACAAAAAAATCGTTAAAGAACACACTCGGAGAGGGGGAGAGAGATTACCTTCTTAGCTTAGCGTTTGAGCAGAGCTGCGTTTCTAGAGGGGTGAGTACGAGGAGAGAGACGGAGCCAGAAAGGTTTTAGGGTTTTAAGAGGGTCTTATAGTTGTCGAGGAAGGAAAGCTTTAGAAAGGTCGGAAACCCCTCTCAACGCTGCGTTTTAAGCTACTGTAACGCGGGGTATATCTGTAATTTTGCCCTAACAATTATTTTGTCGAGTAAGTATTGGGCCTGTAAATTTACTTTGGCCCATTACTAACGGCGTCGGTTTGGTTCCTCTGTCCCCCATTGCCCTGTTTCCTCAACGAACAGATTTCTCTGAGAAACCGAAAAGCGCTTTCGGTTTCTAGTTTTTCCTGCGACTTTCCCGCTTTTTTCTGGGCAGCCAAACAGGTTATTCTTCTGTTAGTGTTTAATTTTGAAGAGATTTTTGCTTTCGTTTGCTAGTAATCGACCGTGTTATGCTGGATAGGTAAAAGCGGAGATTTCGATCAAGTTTTTTTGTCTGATTTCTCCCCAAGTCTCGTGATTGGGATACGGTTTAGGGTATATGTTCTGGGAGTTGCCTGATTGGTGTTTGTGGAAGCTTGCTAGGGTCGTAACTTGTGGGTTTTCGAATTGGATGCTAACGCCGATAAGCTAAAAGTTGCAGGAAGCGATGGCTAGTGAAGATGAATCGATAGAACAAAAGGCGACAGCTCGTAGAGAGGCACTGAGAGCTCTTAGGGCTGTGCTCAGGAACTGGCTCAGAACAAGGAGAATGGGGAAGATGATACGGGCGAAGAAAGGTGAGTCTATTTGCTCATTCTTCTTCCACGCCTAGAGCTTATATAACAGTCTTCATTGCAATAATTTTTGTTCTTTTTTTTATACGAGTTGATTTTGTTGTTTGATGGTTGGAGCATTCTACAAGATCCAAACATGTACAGTTTAATTATCTATGTTTGTAAGATTCTTTGACTATGTGCAGATTGCATCACTCATGAAACAGTCTTTGTCATTTGGCTGCATCAATGTGTAGATTTTTTTTGCTGTTGGTAATTTGATTCAGGGTCTGAAAGTTAGAGCTGAAAACCTTTGTTTTGTCTCGTGCTTATGGCTTTTATCAAATTTGCAGTAATCCCACCATGAAATTCAGAAATTATGTACCCCAAGATAAGGATCTTCAGGAGGGTAAACTTGCCCCACCCGAGCTGCCCAATTTGAAGATCCGGTTGCTGCAACTCTACCGGCTGCGGAGAAGAAAGAGGTGTGTGCCTCTGCCTCTGGTTCTGACACTACTATCTTATACATATACACACAGTTAAAAACTTGAATCCTTGTTATGGTTTTCATTTGTTCAATTCTACTTGTCCTATTAGCTAACACTGGAAGATCTTTATAGGATCCTCTTGTCAATATTGCCCCCCCAAAGAAGCCAAACTGGGACCTCCGTAGAGATATTCGGAAGAAGCTTCACAAGCTCGAAAAACGGACTCAAAAGGCAATGTTCAAGCTAATGGGTAAGTGGCAACTCCCTCTGCATGCGCAATCCATCTATTGGTAATTTGGGAAAACTGAGTTGAGATTCTTTTGCAAGAAATACATATATATATATATATATATATGCTCATGTAAATGCTCAGTTCTAAACTCATTACTAGTATAATAATGCGCTAAGGGCTGTCCAATGCAATCTCTCTGAACATTTTATGTGACAAAGGCGGGCATTTTCTATCTGCAGTTGAGAATGACTGGTTAATAATAGCCTGTCTGTGTTGGTTCCTGTAATCCTATGTAGTATGTTCGACTGTATATTTCTGTTCTTAAAGATCTCATGTGTGCAATAACCATAGAACAGAAAACCTAACATAGACATTGTCATCATCTCATTGCAGAGGAGGCAGAGAAATAAAGTGAGATGGCTGAAGCAAACGGAACCGAATCAGAAAATTAATCTCAGTGACATTAAAGGGCGGGCAAAAGATCATTATCTACTCAGATTTTGTACAAGGGGAGTTTTTCAGATTGGATTTTGGAGATTCTAGGCTTGGTTTGAATGCTATCGCCGTTGACGTTGGCGTAGCCGTGTTGCAACTCAGTCTATGTTAGTCAAATATGAGATAAGAATAGATTGCAAAAGAACCAAAAAATGTCTCCAATTTCTCCATTGAAGAGAGATATTGTACGCACTTCTTCCTCTTCCCCACAGGATGTTAGAGCTCCAACATCATGGATATATCTATGCATTCGTACATGCGTACGTCCACATGTATTTCTACAGTGTGTGTATATATACACAAAAATATATGTACTCTCAAAAGCAATAGAGAGCTTCTATTTACACCAAGCGTTTTTTGTTATTCGCCTTGAAATGGACACTTCAAGTTCAAGGTGGTTGTCACTATTAAGAACATGTAATAATAACTCCAAGTTCTTGAAACAAGTTCACCAGAGAATACTCGCACTCGGGTTGCAAACTAACGTTGTCCTCTGCAAAAGCCTCATCAATGGCTACTTCTCCATTAAGGACCACATTTCTGCGAGACATGTCTTTGAAGCCCTCGACAACCCATTGCCGATCTCCTTGTGGAACTCCCTCATGTCTGGTTACACCAAGAGCTTCATGTTCCTCGACGCTCTCGAGGTTTTCGGCAGATTGGTGCAGTACCCTTTTTGCGTGGCTGATTCTTACACATACCCAAATGTCCTGAAGGCTTGTGGCGCCACCGGTAAGGAGTTATACGGTAGGATGCTTCATGCCCTTTTGCTGAAAAATGGGCATCTCTCTGATGTCGTGGTGGCTAGCTCTCTGGTCGGAATGTATGCCAAGTGTAACTTGTTCGAATGTTCGGTCCAAGTGTTCGACGAAATGACTGAGAGAGATGTGGCGTCTTGGAACACGATAATATCCTGTTATTATCAAAGCGGGGAGGCCGATAGGGCTCTGGAGATGTTTGGTAGAATGAAAGGCTTTGGCTTTGAGCCGAATTCAGTTACACTGACGGTAGCCATCTCTGCATGTTCAAGGCTGTTGGATTTGGAGAGAGGGAAGGCGGTTCACAGAGATTGTCTGAATAAAGGGCTCGTGTCGGATGAGTACGTAAGCTCTGCTCTTGTGGACATGTATGGGAAATGTGGCTGCTTGGAGATGGCTAGAGAGGTTTTTGAACACATGCCAAGAAAGAATGTGATTGCTTGGAATTCAATGATCCAAGGTTATTCTCCAGAAGGACATAGCCAATCCTGCATTGAGCTCCTTAATAGAATGATAATAGAAGGAACACGGCCGAGTGAGACAACCTTAACCAGCATTCTGATGGCCTGTTCTCGGTCATCTAATCTTCGACATGGAAAATTCGTACATGGATACTTGATCAGGAATGTCGTGGAAGCAGATTCTTTCGTAAACTGCTCCCTTATCGACCTTTACTTCAAATGTGGTGAGGTAAAGCTGGCTGAGACAGTGTTTGTGAATACTCAGAAGAAGATTGTTGCTTCATGGAATGTTATGATCTCTGGGTATGTCGGTGTAGGTATGTGGGTTGAGGCTTTTGCAGTGTATGACCAAATGGCAGGTGCTGGTGTGAACCCAGATGTTGTGACTTTCACGAGTGTCTTACCCGCTTGTTCTCAACTGGCTGCACTCGAGAAAGGCAGGCAGATTCACTTGTTCATCAATGAGAACAAGCTCGAAAGAGATGAGTTGGTGATGGGTGCTCTTCTTGACATGTACTCTAAATGTGGTGACATGAAAGAAGCTTCTAGAATCTTCGACAGTTTGCCGAAGAAAGATGTCGTTTCTTGGACCGCAATGATAGCTGCATATGGATCTCACGGAAAAGCTACAGAAGCTCTAAAGCTTTTCGATGAAATGCAGAAACTTGGTGCAAAACCGGACGGGGTAACATTTCTTGCAGTGTTATCAGCATGTGGTCATGGTGGGTTAGTTGATGATGGGGTCAAGAGTTTCAGACATATGAGAACTGAATACGGAATCAAACCAGGTATTGAACATTATTCATGTTTGATTGATCTTTTGGGAAGAGCTGGCCGTTTGCTTGAAGCTTATGAAGTTCTGCAAGAGAATCCAGAGACGAGAGAGAATGCAGGGCTACTGAGCACTCTCTTCTCTGCATGTTGCTTGCACCATAACCATGACTTGGGAGAGAAAATTGCAAGGTTGCTTATGGACAAGGATCCAAATGATGCATCCACTTACATTGTATTGTCCAATCTATATGCTTCTGGTGGGAGATGGGATGAAGTGAGGCACGTAAGAAAGAAGATGAAAGAACTGAGACTGCAGAAGAAACGGGGCTGCAGTTGGATTGAGATTGATCAACAAGTATGGCCATTCTTAGCAGAGGACATGTCTCATCCAAAGGCTGACAAGATTTATGATTGTCTTGCCCTTCTGAGTGATCACATGGAGGAGGCAGAAGTCTCATTGTCTTAAGGTCCCTTTACAAGAAGCATCTCAAGCTCATGCCAAAGCCTTGGAGATATACAAAGGGTAGAACCGTGCACAGGAGCACACGGTATCGAGATTTTATACAACATGGGGATTGTTATTACTTCTGAAAACAATCAAGAACCGTGTTTCCACAAATAAAGTTTGAAGCTAAGTCTCTAGACGTGTAATGTACATACTCATATAAGGTTTTTTTCAACATCATCTATCTCACCCGAGCCTTGTGGGTAAAATGCATTCCATTGCTCATCCAGCCACTTCTACAGCCAAAACTCCACGCACAGAACCATCTACAGCACAAAGTGAATGAAAGGCTAAGGCAAAATATTCTGATTCCGAGGTTTTTACTTATCAGCAGTTCTTGACATGGATGGAGCCTTGAAAGTTGCCCAACAGCAATCTGTATTAAGTGTGACATTCAACCAAAGCCCCCTCTCTCAGTTGCTTCATATCAGGCATCGAGTGCATTTCCCTATCATTTTGACAATTAAAACGAGTAATCTACTGAAGATCTTGTTCAGCAAAAGTAGAATACGCTGTCTTTAATGAATCAGGAATGTCTCGGTAAAAGCTCAATCAACTGTGAGGATCATACATCAAGGCACGATTATGCCCGGTACGTTAAATTCAAAAGTCTCTATATTATTTGTTAACAGTGGAAAATTGAAAGAGAAATGAAACATGTCTAGATTCCTAAATGAGACCCTAAAACCAAAAATAAGCTTTCTGACCACAATCCAGCAAAATGGATGGAGCCTGAAAGTAGTGCCCCAAAACTTTTTATCTTGACACCACTCACCATGAAGCAGTTTGTTGGATTTTTTTTACCTCTTTCAAGGAAATTACCTTCAAAGTTACCTAGCTATAGCCACTCTGTAATTAAGGATTAGGTCTTCTGGTTTCTTCCAAACATATGCCCGTACAGTGGCCAAGCTCATATCTGGAGATAACACCTGGAAATGGAAGAAACAATCTTAATATTGAATCTTGATCTGATTTTCTAAAACTCCGAAGAAGGTGACTGAATTGGGCATGATTCCGGTACCTGAGTTATATGACAGATACATAGAATGCCTCGGTAAAAGCTCAATCAACTGTGAGGATCATACATCAAGGCACGATTATGCCCGGTACGTTAAATTCAAAAGTCTCTATATTATTTGTTAACAGTGGAAAATTGAAAGAGAAATGAAACATGTCTAGATTCCTAAATGAGACCCTAAAACCAAAAATAAGCTTTCTGACCACAATCCAGCAAAATGGATGGAGCCTGAAAGTAGTGCCCCAAAACTTTTTATCTTGACACCACTCACCATGAAGCAGTTTGTTGGATTTTTTTTACCTCTTTCAAGGAAATTACCTTCAAAGTTACCTAGCTATAGCCACTCTGTAATTAAGGATTAGGTCTTCTGGTTTCTTCCAAACATATGCCCGTACAGTGGCCAAGCTCATATCTGGAGATAACACCTGGAAATGGAAGAAACAATCTTAATATTGAATCTTGATCTGATTTTCTAAAACTCCGAAGAAGGTGACTGAATTGGGCATGATTCCGGTACCTGAGTTATATGACAGATACATAGATGTTTTCCTATATGTGTATATATATATATAGGTTTCTACAAATGAAATTTGACTTGCCTGATTGTTGCATAAAATCTCAATGGAAGGCCTATTAAGCTTCTGCAAAGGCTTTAAACCAGATTGGACAGAACCATTTCCTGCAGCTAGTTGCAGGGATTGTCCACCTGAAACACCCATCCCCTCAGTAGCTAGACTAGTCTCCAATGGTTTGTCAAGGACCATCTTTTCCATAACGTAATTGATAACCTACGTAGAACAAAATGTAAATATACATCGCAATGAGTTAAGAGAGAGAGAGAGCTTTATGAAGAAGGGCAACCACCTTATTAGTTCTCAGAATCCTTGGTGCACTAAGTTTCCCAAGTGTGACTACCTGTACTGTTGTACCTTCACATGGATGCAGGAAAAAACTCAACCTGGACACATCCAGAGCACACTTTCACAGTGAGGACTGTTCTCTAATGGAGAAAAAGACACTTCCCATCTTTATAGAAAAAGAAAAAATCGCATTCATAAGGGGAAAAAAAGGCTTCTAAATATTAGATTGAATTCTTCACGGAATTATACTTCGTGTTTTCTCTAGGGGGAAGGCGATTGTTTAAGACAGCGTCCAAGCACCACCATGGGAAGTCCTTATCATCTTCAGCTCCAGTAAACTCAGTTATCTTCTTTCTCCATGGACCACCCTGAGAACCCTCAGTAATGATGGAAGGAGGAGAGATGGAAGAAAATTCGAAAGGAGGATACACCGAAGGATCATTATCACCAATGCTACTACTATCTTCAGCTTTTGACGAGCTAAGATTTTTCATTGCATCTTTAGCAGATAGAGAAGACTCTGCATTGGTGGGGGATTGTGGTTTTGGTCTCTGTTTTCTTTTAGCCAACCAATGTGCCAGCAGTCCTTTCAGGGTTTCACGAGCTAGATTAATCTACAAAAGCAACACAAGTCAAGAGAAGCATTTTCAGTTTAATTAGCTCAAGATTAAATATATTCTCAAGCATTCAATTATGATAGACACGCATGGAAAAGGACAGAAAGATTCCAGGTCCTAAGAACTGGCATTCGAAGAAGGGGGATTGCGGTGGACATAGACCAGTTACTGATCCGTACTGTCTGAAAGGCAAGAAATATGTATGCAGTATATATTATCTCTACTACAATGTCCAGCGACCTATTCGGTCCGACAATTAAATGGAAGCATATAACAAACGGGTCAAATCACAGAGCTAAAGAAGGGCATTCAGTCAAGGAGTTACCTTGTCATCTTCAGGTCTCCCTGTAACTTTCAGGTCCATCGAATACATCTCAGCGGAGAAGCATTGAGGTGTCTCCAGATGTACGGATAAGCATCCAAGTCTGGTATCCACAGTAAACCATGACGGAATGCTTACCTGACAAAAGCAGAGAAAAAACATTACAGATGCAATCATATCTGCTTTGTCACTTTTGAGATAAAAATGAGTTAAACCATAACACTGAAGCCAAAAAGGCTTACCATCTCAAACAGTTGTTCTTTCTTCTCCTCAAATGAAATCTGTAAACATGGAAATGTAAAAAAATAATTATTTTGACTCAGTTACTGCTTCATGCACAAACAGAAATATGAACAAATAAAATGGAACAAGAACTCAAATTTCCAAACAGACCTTCCCATAGTCCTCCACCACAACACCCTTTGTTATCTCCCATAGTTTCACTGAGCCAGCAGTGTCCTGCCAAAGCAAAATGCAAACTAATATCATTGACCCAATTCATGTGTTTAGCTTAATGATGGTCACACCACTGCATGTATATATGTCTACTTAACCTTAGTCAGAATTTGCCTTTTATTATTCAAAATCTCGTGTTGCACAATTGCTGGAGTTCCTGGAATGGTAAGTGATGGTGTCTTGTAGGCAGGGAGCTGCAAATAAAGCCAAAAATTAACCACATTGATCCGAGAAAGCTTATGCAGAGGAAGCATTTCATATTGTAATGTTTCCTTACTGGACTCGACCCTTCCAAGGACACCCTTGCCCTGTTAAAAGACAAATTCCCAGCCAAGAAAGAGCCAGCTTGTTGAAAAACCTTCTGAGGGCTTTCTCCTTCGGCAGGCCATCTATCAACTGAGGTGTCTGTTGTAGCAACCCAAATACTATTATCTTGCAGAGCCAAATGCTGAATTGGGTGTTCCTTAGTGCACAGCAAAACAGTCTCCCTTGTCGCCAATTCTGTCAAGTACAACTGAGGGAAACCTACACATAAGATGAGCTGCAGAAAAGAAGCTACAGACAGGAGAGGGAGCCAGAAAAATTGGTTGACTACTTACACATTGATCCCTTCCACCACTGTAAACATGACTAAACGATGGGGTGCATGCAAGGGCCCAAACAGAATCTGTATGCACTGCATACGTGTGCATACATCGCTGCTGACCAAGATCCCAAAGTCTAAAATTGAATCCATAGTCAGTTAGAACTGAAATCATTGGTATAACTTCAACTGCTTGGTTCATACTATGGCACAATAGAAAGGTAGAGAACATCTACCTTATCATAGAATCAGAGGACCCAGACAAGCAAAATCTGCACCGTAATGTAAGAAACACGAATACATTCATCAGTCTGAGAAGAGAACAGTTACCACAAAAGGCCGAAAGTTCAACACAAGATACTTACCGGCCAGTTGAGTCTAGAAGCAGTACTCTGACATTATCTGTGTGTCCCCTCAACTTCATAGTCTTAGAACCAGTTCTTGGGTCCCAGACACGTAAAACCTGCAAGAAATAGTAAAACGTTTATAGAGTAACTTTCACAAAACATAAGTCCCCTAATACAGTTACAATGCTCCAAGTAAAGAGAAGATTTTCTGAATTGTTGCTTATTAAATGTCATTCAACAACCTAAGTTGTATGAATACCTTCTCTGTTCCACCAGAGACAAGAATGGTTCCAGTATCATTCATAGCCAAAGCATAGACAGACTCCTTGTGACCTTTGGCAGCTGTTGGTGTGTACCCATGGGATGGAGATGACTGCACAGAGATATTGTTGCTTGAACCAATCGTACGTAAGCTCGTAATTGGTACAGAATTCCCGGAACCATTGACACCATTTGGAGAACTATCTTCTTGTGTGTCATTAGATTTTGAAACTGGTGACAGAGCAGCTTCAATATCCCATATAAAAACCTCCCCACCAAGTCCACCAGATGCAACAACATTGTTCTAAAAAGTTTGAAGCTAGGAAAGGATCAGAAGGCAACATCGAAAATGAAAAAAAAAAGGAAGAAAAAAAAAAGGATGGCCACAGACAAAAATTACATTTTTTGCTGCAACTGCAAGGCAAGTAACATAGTCAGAATGCTGACGGAGTGTTCTTGTACAGACCCCATCCGACAAGCCATCCCACATCTAATACGTCATGGGAAAATTAAGTCAGATTGAGTAACCAATAGGTGGTAGGCAATGGCAATTGGGAAAAAAATCTGGACAGCTAAAAGTTAGCAGCCATAATAAAGTGGCAAACCTTGACAGTAGTGTCTGATGAACAAGAAACAAGAGTGCTTTCACCAGCCACAGCAGCATCATTTACCTAAGAAATCAGCAGCAGCTTTTGATATTATCATAGGTAGGATAGATCAAAATTCAACAGTAACATTTCCTTTGATTGTGGTCTCCAAAAATGATAAACATTTGATAGCAACCAAAGGGTACTAATCTACAACAGAGAAACGGAGCTCAAGCAATAAGCACAACAAAAATGGTACTGAGGTGCTTTCTTTCCAGTCGTAAAGTATGATACAACCATGGAGTAATTATCCGGTGTTGTTAATTTCTGAATTCATCTATGACTCAGATCACACAAAAATAATACGGTGCCCTGCTCCCCGACTTGCCCAACCATCAAACCAAACAGACCCCAAGGGACATAGAGGGCCCTGCTTACTAATCCCGAGTAAAAATCAACAAGCATTATAAGAACATTATATACCCAGTCAACATGAGATTCAAACGTAGCTGAGCAAAAGGCAGCATCCTCTTCAAATATCCATCTCTTGAGTGTACCATCTCGGCTTCCAGTGAAGAGGTGGTTTCGGTCACTGGGAACAGAAGGCTTTGATACAGCCAAACAATTTATGCCAGCACAATGCTGCAGTATGCACATTCCAGTGAAATAATATGATCAGGATTATGTTTTCAGGCAAATATATCTTGAATCTATTCTATGGATGAACTAGAATTTTAGATAACAGGCATATCCCATGAAAGGGTAACAATTTGGAAGGTAACATATAGCATGGAAGTAAAACAACCTGACCTTTTTGTCATTGGCATCATTCAACACATATGTCAGCTTCTTCTCTTTACGAGAACGAACAGAACCGCCATTACTCCCGGCACTTCCAACCCGATGCATCTCCAAAACACCCTGGAAGAATAACCAGGAAGCGAGAATCTAACAGACTCCTCTCAAAGCAGACCGGTTCTTGTCCAACACAATTGACTGGTGTTTCTCAGTCCCATTATCCAAAACCAAACAAGACAAACATCCACTACAGGTAAGACAAGAGCTGAATGACTGTCTGTCTGAAACGGGAAGGAGCGGTTAACCACACGGATTAAGAGTTCAAATTTCCAAAAATTCCTCCTTTTGATCAGTTCCTATCCTAAGGGAAAAGATCTACTACAGAAGAGATAAATCGTGTACAACCAATTTTCCGACAAAGATTATCAATTTCAAGGGCCAAACTCAAATTCGCCCAAACAAGAGGAGAAAGATCACAACATCACTGAACAACTCTACATAACCTATTTTGATCCATAAACAAGAGAAACAAACAGCACTAAACAGTTTCCATTACCATTGAACGTTTCCGCGGAATAAGTCGAACTACTCGCCCCCCAAAAAAAACAAACCACCAGAAAATCCCACAAATATAACAGAAGACAGCGACTGGAACAAACAAAAAAACCCCAGAAAATGCAACAAAACAAAAACAAAACAGCAAAGGAGACCATCTCCTTACCTCTATCTGCACTTTCAGATGTGATCGACAAAGACGAGGACGACTGGAGGATTCAGCAATCGAAGACACAAAACCCTAGGATCGATCATTCAATTTTTTTGAGATTTGCAATCGGAATGGTGTAGAGAAAATATCGGGGAATAGATTAACACAAAAGTCAAAACGAAAAAAGCGAATCCTCTCTCCTGGCGCAATGGGCGTTTGGAGGAAGAGAAGAGAAACACAAGCTTCAGGCGGAAACTCCGATTTCTCGATCAGGTCATAATATATCGAGCTACGGATCAAACATCATCCCCCAGCAAAAGCCGCGATGAATAACAAAATTGATTTTCACAAGGATAATAATATACAAACAATAATAACAAAAATTAAATAATTGAGCAATAAGGGAAAATACATCAATTCTTTTTTAAAAAAAAATTTGTTTTTACACTGCCACGTCATCTGTTCATCGCGTTTTGAGTATTTTTTTTTTGTTCTAGATTGGTACTGTAATTAATTTTTAATTAAATATTATAATAAGATTTAATGAAATAATATCATGTGCATATACACACACGTGTGTATCTACATATACACAAGCTTATACAGGTGAAGAACTCTCAACACTTTCCCTGCAAAAAGGTTTACACTTTCTCAGCCGAGAAAATGTTCATTTCACCAGAAAACAAAGGGTATTTCTCCTCCTCCTGGAAATCATCTTCGTTGTCCGAATCAATTGATTGAATCCCCACGACCGGTTTTCATATGAATTCAATTTGGATCTTAGATTATATTAGAATGAATATCTGGTTATTGATGGTTTTGTTTGGTTTATTTTGGTTTAGTTCGGTTAGGGTTTATTAGGGTTTCCTCCTCTATTGTATTTAACGAACACTTTTCTCATTTTGGTAATATATCAGAAAATTTTATTATCGCAACTTTCTTCTTAATCCTTTTTCTCTTCTTATTTCAATTTGGATCGTGTTTATTTATGTTGGGCCTAGGCCCATTTTAAGATCAAAAGCCCAATTAACAATATATGTCATTTTGTCCCACATCGCCGAATTTCAACGCGATCAGAAGAACAGCCTCTGTATTTAAAGTGTCCATGCTCCCTTCTGCCAGAGCTACGGAGCCGTGCGATGAGCACATAGCGAACTATTCTTTCGCCTTTTACTAAAGAATACCGTGTGCTCGTCGCACCAAGCGGCATACGCCTATTTTTGGAGGGGTCGCTCTACGAGCCTAACCCCCAACCAATTCATAAGCTCAATATTTTCTTAAGAAAATGTTCGAATTGATAACGATATTGAATTCCAACCACAAGATTGCCTTTATCTCAAGTGTTTTTTGAGTCAATAACATTATTCTGTTTAATTTATTTTTTAATTAAATCTGCGAAATATGCAAGTCATTACTAATCAAAAAACGAAATCGAACCGAAAAAGATATTTTTTAAAATAAGAACCGAAAAAGATATTTTTTAAAATAAAAAACTATAATCGAAGAATTGATATTTATTTTTGTAAAATCGAACCGAACCGAACCGAATTATTTTGTTTGGAACCCTAACCGATTGATATTTATTTTTGTAAAATCAAACCGAACCGAACCAAATTATTTTGACTGGAACCCTAACCGAATTGCGAAACACTCACCCCTACTAATCAACAAGTCCACCTTTTACACACCCTACTAATCAACACGTCCATCTTTTTCTCTCTTCAATTTCTAATTTTTCTTTACTATTTCTTCTGTTCTATTTCAATCGAATAAGACATAGGATCTCAAAAGACCTATTGTTTTATCTTCATTTCATCCATTCCACTGAATAAATATCTTCGTAACAATTCTCGTTATTTGAAAGATTTAGTCTTAGTTATTTTAAATATCACAACTTCGAAATCCATTTTTGTAACAATGCTTATCCATTTTCGTATTTTTAATAACAAAATTGATTTTTTAAAATTTTTTATGCAGTTTTATATACAATTTTTCGGAAACATTATAATCATTCGACTTCTATATATCGGTCATATGTTATTCAATTTAGTTCGATTCAATCCGATTGAATGATCGGTAAAACTCTTTTATAATTATTTTACTTTTTAATCATTTCTTAGACCAACGTAACTTATGTCTACTTTAAATTTTATATAAAAAAATTGATATTATATTGAATTCATTTTGGATTGGTTTCTCTTTTCATTGATAAAAATATTCCTTTAAAAAAAACAAAATCGATTTTTCAGTTATTTTTTATTCATTTTCAGATTTAATTTCTCGATTTTAAAAACATTGTAATTATTCAGATTCTTTTAAAATCGGCGTAGATCAATTCGATTATCAACCAATGATTAGTGATTCGTGAAACCCTTTTATAATTTCGTTAGCAGGTTAGTAGATAATTTTGTCTTTATAAGTGATAGAAACATGAAAATGAAAAACCATGCTAATTATTTTACTTTTTAATCTTGATCCAATGTATCTTATACCTACTTTAAATTTTATTAAGAAAATTAACATTATAATGAAATAATGTGAAACAGAGAAAATTTAAATTCTAAAATATGTTCCGTGGACAAATTAGAAAATTTATAAATGGAAACACATTATTTGCATCAAATCCAAAATCTCCAAGTATAATTTAGATGTAGATAAAAGAAATAACAAAGATACGCGTCGAAATTTCTACGAAGACACGTCATTCTTAGTTTTCAGGTGGGCTTTAATAGGCCCAATTTCGGTAGGCCCAGCTTAATGAAATAGAGGCCCATTAATGTTGGTCGCGTACAGACGCCATGGCGTACTCCCTGGTCATGACCTTATAAGTTCTGAAACCCAGCGAATCCTCCACTCCTTACGTTTGTCCTCTCCCTAAGGTTTTGCGGCGGAGAGAGAGAGAGAGAACTCACATAGAGACGAAGCAGGATGGACCCGAACGCCGCTGGACCGGTGGTGCTGTCCGCAGAGGAACAGACCGTGCTGAACGAAGGTATTGGTCTGTTACTGTCGCGGTGGCCCGCCATGCGAGCCGCCGTCGAGAACGGCTGGGGCGGCCGAGATTCCCACCGGAAAGCTGAGGGCACGGTTGCTAAGGTTTTCGATTTCTTCACCCAATCAAAAGGTGAATTCGATATGCCTCTCGGTGAAATTCTCATGCTTTAAACTGTCTTCGTTCTGATTATTGTCGATGTGAGTTGAAGCTAGAGGTTTCCATCGTTCCGCTTGTTGGCAAAAATAGTCTGGGTATGTTTCACATTAGAGAAGAATGCCTGTTTAGTTTGATTTGATCCGATTTTGTGTGTGAATTTATCTATGTTCTATATCTGAATCAACAGCAGCAAGAGAAAATCTCCCCAATCTCATCAGAGATTCCTCATGTGGACATCAAACCTCTTTGATTTTGTTCTTCGATTGACTTTTTTATTCATAACTTGGCATAACCCTGGAAATAGATTCCATCGCGATTCCGCGTCTGTAACACTGATCTGGAGATAGATTGAACGAGTATGTTGATTTATCCGATTATGTAACGGTGTGAAGTGAAAGAAAGTAACTTTGAATCTTTGATTAGGCAGCTTTGTACATTATGATTCATCTTGTTAAATCTACAAACTTCACCGGAATTCTTCAGTTTGTATGCTTAATTGTTAGAATCTTCCGGATCACAGAACAATGATATTATTCCTTGTTCTGCATTCTAATGGGTAGTGGCATGTCTTCTCTCTGTTTTGAAACACTTGCTGTAGATCCAATGGACTTTGACAGCTTAGCCGACATCCTAGAAGGAGGGCTTGATGAGCTAAATACAGTAGCTGATGACGGAAGCCTCGAAGAGGTATGTTAGTTTCTGGAATGAATCACCGATTCCACTCGTCCCCGAAACACTGGTGGCTTATGTTTCTGTTGCTTTTGAAAGGTGACAGAAAAACTACTAGATCTGTACGAAGAATGTCTGGACGGGAATTGCCAAACTGTCGAGAAATTGAGGGGATCGAGCTCTCAAATGGCTGGTCGGGCAAACGTTGTGAAGGTTGGAGACGATGATGAAGAAAGCGATGATGAAGATGAAGATGAAAATGAACAGCCAACAGACATGATGGTGGATGATGCAACCGAGCAACGTCCAGACCAGACTCGGGTCGAACCGTCATCGGCCGGACCGGAAGCTGAAGACGGCTGGACAGTTGTTCCGGCCAGACGAAACAAGGGTAAGAGAACTTAAAATCAAATCCTGTCTCTTCTCATTATGTTTCCTACTCTGAGTTTTGACAATGCTGTTACACTAGTTGCTGCTTTTCATGGCTCTGATTTAAGTCAGAGAGATTACTTGTATTGGTACCAAACCGGATTATTTGCTGTGACTAAGTACCGGACCGGTTCACACGAAATTATCCGGTCCATGTATAAGATGAGCAGAGATTGTGTTGTTGTAACTGAACAACGTTTTATTTCAGGGGAGATATAAAATGATACATCTTAAATAAATGTTCGAGAACGGGATAATATCATATGCATATATGAAATTTTTCGTACCGTACCATACCATACCGGATTATCGGTTATGATTTGAACCGTACAGAACCAAATCACATTGAACCGATTCAAGTAGAATCAAAGTCTCTCTCGTTCATTCGACGGGCAAGTTTTCTGCTTCATGTCTAATGGAGTCGAACAATTGAGTCGACAAATATCGTTCCCCGCCACTGGGAAAGACCACCTGCATGCCAAAAACATAAAACCGAAATTCTTAAACCAGTTTAGTCTTGGTTTAAGTAAGGCTTTTCGGTTCTGCACATCATGTAAACCGGAATCCCCAACAGAAACTGCGTTTACTTACCACGATGAGTTTCCCGGCATTTTCTGGTCGCTTTGCGACTCTCAAGGCTGCAGCTGCGGCCGCCCCAGAGGATATTCCGACCTGCCATAAGCTCAGTGTTATCATAAATAACCGGTTTTGGTTTTGTATACCAAACACAAGCTGTTAACGGAATTGAAAACCAAGAGTATACCAGCAATCCTTCTTTCAGAGCAAGAAGACGTGCTGTTTCCATGGCCTCCTCGCTTGATATCTGCGAAAAGAAAATCAAAAACGTATTTTGCAGATCTTTGAATGAGTTTTGTTAAATCTCATCCGGGTCATGAAGATAACCGGTTAAAGTTCAAGAATTTGTCACAAAGGCTGTATTTTTCAGTGACCCACTTGGATGATTTCATCGAGAAGGTTGACATCCAAGACATCTGGGAAGATACCGGGTCCTATGCCCTGAATCAGATGCCTTCCTGCAAATCAATAAATCCCAGAACATCAAGAAACACGTCAAACAACGATATTTGGTGATATAACTTTGATCGGTACATGAAGTTTGAATGCGAGAACAAAGATTAAAGCATAAGCACAAAAAAAGAAACATTCACCCGGTTCCCCTCCGCTGAGTACTGGACTTTCTGCAGGTTCAACCGTATAAACCTGTAGATAAAGATCATAAAGAACTAATCCCGGCCTAACTAACAACATCCGTTTTCCAAGATTCGATTCTCTTTAGCCAGCAAAACCACAAGCCATGAAAGCCAAATGAAAGGATCTGCATTTGAGATATCTCGAGTGTACCTTTATATCTTTGTTCTTCTCCTTGAGGAATTTCCCTGCGCCAGTAACCGTTCCACCAGTACCAGAACCCGCGACCAATATATCTACCTTCCCTGCAGAGTCTCTCCATATCTCTGGGCCCGTGGTGCGATAATGAATCTGCATAAACCGGCTTAGAAAGAGAGCGAGCAAGAGTCCAAGAGTAATGCCCATCACGGGTAAAATTATGAGGAGAATCCAATCCATACATCTGGGTTTGAAGGGTTTTCAAATTGCTTCATTATGTAACCATTAGGAGTTTTGCTTAATATCTCGTCAGCCTTTTTGAAACAAGCTTCAATGCCTTTGCTCGGGTCTATGAGGATAACTTCGGAACCTAATGCTCTGAGAATGATTTTTCTCTCGAGGCTCACTGCTGCAGGCATGATAAGAACAACTTTGTAACCTCTTGCTGCTCCAATGAAGGCTAAGCCAATCCCAGTGTTACCAGCCGTAACTTCAATCAGTGTGCTCTTTCAAATCCAATAAAACAAATTCAGATTTCTTGTTGATTTCTTTAATGAAGAACAGATTCATGGTTTGGTGTTTTACCTTCCCTGGTGTAATTAATCCCTTCTCTTCTGCATCTGTGATCATGCTGTACCCGATTCTGAACGGCATCAAAGCTCACAGTTCTCAGAAAAGATAACGAACAAATATATCCGGGAGCAAATGGGCAAGAAGCTAGAGGATTTTTAGGTTAAGGAATACCGGTCTTTGACACTAGAGCAAGGCTCCATCATCTCAAGCTTTGCTGCGATACGAGCAACACAACCTTCCACAACATTGTTCAGATACACCATTGGAGTATTCCCTATCAACTACGCAAATGCAGTACCCGTAAAACATTCAGGATCTGAATAAATTACAAGGAGAAAGGATCTAACATCACAATTTGTTTCCAAAAGAGTTTGACTAAGAGCTTACTTCAGTCACATCTTTCTTGATCAAACTTTGATCCTCCATGTTATATGTCTCCGGAATTTCCTGCAGTTTTAAAAGAGAGGCGAAAGGGGTATATCACAAGTGAGATTCCGTAGACAAAGATTGTCACTTTGGGCACCAAAGATCACAAAGCGAATCAAACAGTAAATCTACAGAAACCAAAGGGACCCAAAAGCGGACCAATTTGTTTATATCCCAACCAAATATGAATCTGCTTCGACACTCAAAGGCTCCATTGCAGATCCAGAACTGTAATTTTGAGGTTCACAAAGAAACTAGAAACACCAAAACGACAAATAAGACATGTCTGTCAAACTGATTTCATGATTGACAATCTACGGATAGGGAAAATAGAGGAATAAAACGGGTAAGTTCCGAGTCAACGGCAGAGGGAAGCGACTTTCTCAATCGAATCTGAGAAGAAGAAACTACCAATCCAAGTTTGTCACTTTCTGGTTCTTTGTTTCTTTCCTTTCTTTCTTAACTTCCAAACGACATGAACAGAAATGGAAAAGCGAACGAAGGCGTCGCATTTTGGGTTCGTAGACGGAAGGAACACCCAAAGCAAGAAACTTTGAGGAGAGAGACACGAGAAGGAACGAAACCAGAAGCAAAAAGAGCATACCCAGTTGCTTGATTCACTTGAAGAGCATCAAAATTTCATTATTTGTTTTCCTTGCAAGAGGAAGAAAGTCTCACCTTAAAGAAAGACTCACTAACGGAGTCTCTATCTTTTTTGGCAAGTGGGTGATAGATATGCGTGTGCATACCCCCACAATATACACATGTTCATATACGTATACACCTAAAAACAAGTACAGATCTTTTAATCATAATCATATTAATGGAATTTTGTTTATTGAAAGACCCAAAAAGTATGCTTATTTATCAATTCTCATACACAACGTCTCAAAGTTTGATTTTTTTCCCCCCACTGGCTTAAAAGAAGAGATAATGGGGTAATGGCAAAAAAAACATCAACTTTGTGTGTATTTAGCAAATAAATACATAAACTTTTATTTTGCTAATAAAATACACATACTTTTGGAATAATGACAACAAAAAATTGAACTTTTTTTATTTGGCAAATAAATACACAAACTTTTATTTTGATAATAAAATACACAAACTTTTATATTTTTAGCGCAAAGCTCCACGAACAATAACGACGTCAAAAAAATAACGGAACCATCAACACGTCATCTATATTTGTGAATATCCGTGTTCAATATAAAAATTATAAAATTTTAAATTAAAATTAAAAACAATTTTAAATATAAATAAATTATATAGGTCATTTATATTCAAATTTTAAAATTTAAATATTTAAAATCAATATAAATATAAATATAATCATAATCTATCATATACAAATGTATTCAAAGTTTAAACATTCTAAATCTCAATTATTTAAAATCAATATAAATATAAATATAATCATAATCTATCATATACAAATGTATTCAAAGTTTAAACATTCTAAATCTCAATTATTTAAAATCAATATAAATATAAATATTCAGATATCCAGAACGTACGAATCGGATACAGATATTTATTTTGAAATATTTGTCGGTTACGGATCGGATACAGATATCAAATTCGAATTATCCAATATATTCAATCTGATTCGTACTAATTAATAATACTATTAAATATAAGAATAATTTGGTATAGAAATTTAAAATACTTTATATTTACATGTTTTGTAGATATATTTAAGAAATATTTTATATAATTGAAATTTAGAATGTTTAAACTTTGAATACATTTATATATGATAGATTATAATTATATTTATATTTATATTGATTTTAAATATTTAAATTTTAAAATTTGAATATAAATGGCATATATAATTTATTTATATTTAAAATTGTTTTATAATTTTAATTTAAAATTTTATAATTTTTATATCGGATACGGATATTCACAAATATAGATGACGTGTTGATGGTTTCATTATTTTTGACGTCGTTATTGCTCGTGGAGGTTTGCGCTAAAAATATAAAAGTTTGTGTATTTTATTACCAAAATAAAAGTTTGTGTATTTATTTGCCAAATAAAAAAGTTCAATTTTTTGTTGCCATTATTCCAAAAGTTTGTGTAGTTTATTACCAAAATAAAAGTTTGTATATTTATTTGCCAAATACACCCATTTCATATTTTTTTTTGCCATTAAGCCAGATATAATGTGATTGTGATGACAAAGAGATTTCAGTCCAGCTCGCACACAGCGCGAAATACACTTTTGTGGATTGGAATCATTCCATATTTTTATGACTTTTTTTTGGAAAGATAAGAGCTCTTTAATACAGCTTGAAAAGGTCAAAAAAGATCACATGCGATATCTATTGACTAGTATAAAGAATACTCCCACTGTTTCTGTTTTAAATTTTTCACATTTTTAAAAAATTATAGAAAAAGTTATCTATATATCCTCATTAAATTAATTTTTTGGTAAATTTTTTTAATAAATATTTTATTAAAATCAAAGGTAAAATTGAAACTTTTTTTTAAAAAATCATTTAGAGAATCTGAAACCATATCTATTAAAGAACAAACTCTATCCTCTTAACTGTTGTGTAGTAAAAAACGGAGGTAGAATGTAATAATATATTTCTTGACCATTATGCCACTAACCATGTTAAAGATGCCGTGCCCAAAGAAAAACCATGTAAAATTTTGTCCAAACACAGAAAAAAAAAAGTAAAACCGCTAAAAAACCTCCAATTTATAAAAATATATATAAATAAATATATATATTTATATATATATATATAAATATATATAACTTGTCACTGAATAAAAGCTCGAACTTCCAAATTATTGTTCTGAAAAACGTTTGACCAGTTTGACCACAATTTCAGGCGATCAGAAATCCATGTATTAACGGATTGCTGATGTCACCTTATACAGTTATCAATTTTAATTTAAAAAATGACATCAGCAAGACATCAGCAAGACGTCAATATGTGGATTTCCAATCGTTTGAAATTGTGGTCAAACCGGTCAAAGGTTTATCAGAGCAATAATTTGTAAGTTCGATGTTTTATTCAGTGACAAGTTACAAGTTCGGGGATTGAATGACAGTTTTTCAAGTTGAATGTTTATTTGTATATATTTTTGCAAGTTAGAGGTTTTTTAGGGTTTTACCAAAAAAAAGGTTTAAAGGTTTAAGGAAATATTATTTGAAGCATGACAAAATAAGTAGGTCTATTGATGATAATGTTAATTAATGGCTAAAAAAGAGGTGTTTTGTTGTTATTGAACAAAGCTAAAGAGATTCTACCAAACTATACTCTAATACAAATTGTTAAACACAAACTTTCTCCTCTCATATCCCTGTTGACAAAAAAGAAGAAGGGGGAATGCCCATAAATATTTGAAAATAAACACAATAAAGAGAGAGAAACAACTCCATTGGAACCCCCAAGGTTGTGACTTTATGAAACAAATAACTTCGCCATTGGGCACTGTCCTCCTCAACTCGTGCATGGCCGCTCGGATATGTTCCTGAACCAGCTCTAATCTCCTCAAGTGCACTCTCAATTCCAATATATGTTGTTTCCTCCATCTCTCGTCCACCATTGCCTCACCACCACCACCACTACCAATCCCCATATTCAGCTGATGCGGCATTGTGATAGGGCTTAAGCTTAGAGTACCTAAGCCATGAGCACCACGGCTTCCCATTCCCATTCTAGCCATCATCATAGCCATTGTCCTGCTCATCATCTCCTCGACCATGGGCGAGACACAGCTTCTCACAGTCTCCTCTATCAATCCAGTTAGATTCTGCCCGTCACATCCAGCCAGATTCTTCTCATTGAGGTTGATATTGCTGGCCGCATTTGCTACATTTCCATCAAATGGAGTAATGGGTTTGTCTTCTTCCATCTTTCCTGTTCTTGATCGTGATCGTTTTCTTGACCCATTACTGTTACTCATTGTCGCTTTCTTCTCGATACCATTCTCAAAAGAACCAATCTCCATGTTAAGATTAGCACTAGGAGTGTTCAATGTTGAGTTTCCATTGGTGTTATTTACATGGTGGTGGAGGTGGTGGTTATCAGTCTCTTTGAAATCGAGTACGTTGTTATCTTCGAACCCTATGATTTTCCCGGTATGATTCCAGATCTTCCTAGAAATCTCGAATGCAGCTTGGTCGTGAGGGTTTTTGAAGAATACCTCTTTGCCGGAGTTGATCTTGCTCATCGCATTAGGTATTTTTTTCTTCAGTCGCCGGAGCTTTTCCACCAACTGGTTCTTGTTGAAATCCACCTGAGGCTTCGAGTTTATCTGCTCGTAAAATGGCGCCGTATCCAGCGGATGAGAGCTGCTCCCGCGGTGCGTCGTCATATACTCCAGAATCCACGGAGGAGCTCGATCTCGTCGTAGCCAGTCCACAGCCTCTGGAAAAGTTATCGTGAACGTCGGTCTCTGCTGAACAATCTCCGTCATATGGTGCCACTTCTGATCGAAATCTACAGGAATAGCGGCGACGGCGGATCCGGTCGGGAGGTCGACGGTGACAGCAGCTGTCGGGGAAGTCATCGCCGCCGCACCCGAAACCACCGCGGTTGCTGTCGAAACAGCGGAAATCATGGCGAGTGACGATGTAGAAGGCGAATTCAGATCTTCCTCCTCCGTTCTTACGCAAATCCTCGTCAGAATCATAGTCTCCGCCTCCTCCACCGCCGTCTTCCTCTAGATCCGGCGATTCCAGGGAGAGAACAGCGGCACGCTGCTCCGAAGCCATCTCCACAAAACACAAACAACCAGAACCAGCGAAAACTCCAACGAAAACAGATCTTTACGAGCTCGGGTCGGAAGAGGAAGAACAGGATCCGGGCTCCAGACCCGGATGGAGACGGAGAAGGGAGGGAAGAGGAAGATCAGGTTACGAGGTCTGGTGGTAGGGCCTGAGAATATTCGAGCAAAGGGGAAGGGTAGTTCCCGTAGTACACTAAAATCACGATGACGAAAACGAAGGTGGTCCGACGGCTGCGCTTTGTCATTCAATGCGTAAGAGCGTTTCAAAAACGCGATTCTGCGGAGAGGCGTTTACGATTGGCGCAATCGCTAATAAAACGCAGCCACTAATCAAGCCGATGCTTTCAAGTTTCAACATAGAAAAGATGGTTTAAGTCCACAAGGAAGAAACAACAGAGTACTTACAATTAAGCCATGGAGATGAACAGAGCGAAGGAACCATCAGATAATTACCCAAATCAACAGTTTCACAAGAGTGAATTTATTGAGTTAAAGCATTTGCATATTCTGCATTTCCTTCTTCTTCAACCTCTTTCCCATCTGTCCTAGTGAAGAAGAAGAAGAAGAAGGAAATGGCGAAAAGGGAGAAAAGCTTAATACAAATTGAACTTCTCCTTGGTGTTTTCAAAGACTTGCTCGGCGATCTCAGCTCCGTTGCCATCAGCTTTCTTGATCTCAAGCTGAGCCTTCTGATAAAACCCGGTCCCTCTCAAAGCATCGGCTATGAAGTCATCAAACCCAATTGCTATGGCTGCTTCTGCTTTGGCTCCATAGACCAACCTCTGTTCCACAACCACCAGACGTTCTTCATTCAGACCAAGATCTAGTGGTTTCTTGCGTTACGCGAATGAAAAGAAACGGTTTGTTCAGATGGGTGTCTTTTAACGGGCTTACCTTGAGTCTCGATAGATGGATGGCCCCGAAACACATGGGGCATGGCTCGCAAGATGCATAGATCTCACACTCTGATAGCTCTATCCGGTTCAGTTTCTTACATGCCTGCATTTTCAGTGAGGCGTAGAAAGTAAATAATGAAAAGATAAAGCAGCTCAGCCGACGAATTCACTCTCTAAAGCTACAGTGGTTCAGAGACATTTTGTTTCTTGAGCTAACCTCTCTAATGGCCGTAACCTCGGCATGGGCAGTCGGGTCCTTGTGTTTGAGAACCATGTTGTGGCAGCTAACAACAACCTCGTTGTTATGCACGATAACCGCGCCGAATGGGCCACCATCACCACACTCAACTCCCTTATAGGCTTCGTCAACAGCTTGAGTTACAAATTTATGGTCGCTGTCCTGAACAACTGATTCAAAACAACGAGAAGGCAAGACGTGAGCAATTAGTAACTCTAGTCCTTGCCTACTGATAAGGGCATATTGCGAAACAAAAGATTGCCATAAGTTTAAGACGGGATGAACATTTCGATCTGCTAACTTGAACGATTTCGATGATTGAATTAGCGAGCAGTATTTTTGGTGAACTAAACATAAACCAATGCAGACTCTTTCATGTAACAATCAAGATAAACAACTGATATTCCGTGATAAAAGTAGTACACACATGATATCAAGCTCCGAAATTTCAGCCAAAAACAGAATTGGGATGATATATCATCGCTATAACTACTGTATCAAACCCTACCCGTTTCACTGGTCTCGTCAAATGTTAAAAGTCCATACCTTCTTGGTGACCGGCAAAGGCAGAAGCCACGGAGATGGTCCCATTGCTTGCTTCCACAACTACAAAGTTCAAGCACAAAGCAAATGAGATATCTTGGATGGGTGTTCAAAGTTCAAACACAAAGACATCGGAAACAACTGGCGGTTGTGGTGTATTCGCTGTTACATCCATGATCAACATGCCATGGTTGATCACAGAGACATACAATATTACTTGTGGAGCAAGTGAGTAAAACAGCTCAGAGGCATTACAAGGGAAATTTCACCGAGGAACAAGAAAAGATAAGGCATGTCTCTAAGCTAATTGCTGATCTATTAAAAACCTGTGATGACTAACACTTGTAATCAATCTCTCACATGTGTCCTGTCATTAGTAACTGATAACATGTTTTTTTGTTAAATTTAGGGCGAATTCCTTCATCTTCATGCAAAAAATTTAACCATTGATAAGCAAATTGTCCGAATCGAACTGGAACTTCCAGAATCAAAATCTGGTGAAATGAACCGAAAAGGGGTAAACTAATTTCATCATCGAGTTGACCGGAGAAGAGAGAATCCGGATTCAACCGTCAAGCTTCCCAGATGCAGATCCAAAATTCCGACGAAATTTCTGATTCTCCGACAAAAAGATTGATGATCGTATATCTAAACCGAACAAGTCGATGAAACAAAACCCCGAAAACCAAATCAAACACGACTAAAGAAGCTCAAAAGCCTTCGATCCGACACAACAACTCTCCGGTACAGAAGCAGACACTCAATTTTCCAGCCAAAAAGCCGAGATTCTGGGCACAACGCGAGGAGTAAAAAAAAGGATCGTTACCTTGAGGTTCTTCCATGATCGGGAGCTTCAGAGAGAAACAGAGAAATCGAGGAGGGTTCCAGAAGAAGGAAAAAAGGGTTTTGTGGGCGATGAAGAGAAGAGAAGCGAGGAGCTACATGAGCCAGTTGAGGTGTTTATATACATGTCCAAAAGAAAACTATGGAAACAGAAATTTGTAAGATGGAGACGAGAACAGAGGAGGATGACGTCAGAAAGACAGAGAAAGTGAGAGAATAAAATCAATATGGAAAATTAATAAATAATTTTACTCTGATGAGGCAATAAATCTGGATTCTTTTCGGGATAAATTTACTGTTTTTTTAGAGTGATATTAACCATATGTTACCTTTATCCAAAGTATATAGTTTAAATTTTATGATTTAAAATCCAAAGGAAATAATTGTATAAATCTAGCAAGATTATTTCAATCCATTTAGGTTCCACAAATTTTAATTTATTATGATCGCCATCTTCTTTTGATATGGTAAATTAAAGGTTTGTATATATATGTATATATAAATATATTAGCTAATGCGCATAAACTATCTTATTTTATCCTACATTGTGGAACTTATCCCCACTGAGATGATGATGATGATAATAATAATAATACACAAGCTTATACTACCTTTATTCGAAATCAAATGCCACTCGTACTGCAGACATCTACATGATGTTTCAAAATGGTTTCTCATTTATAGTTTTACTAAACTCTATTTTTGTGACATAAGCTCAAGAACCCATGGGTAGATCAGATTCATCAGAACATCAAATCACACGAACCATGATCTAATCCATGGATAACAAAATCTTAAATATCCTTGTTTTCTAACCATAAAAACCAGATCCAATTTTAGATCAAACAAGAAAAACACAAAACCATGATGCAGTAAATGGTGTAGGTCGCCAACAATCTAATTGCAGACATGGAAACATGAGACGGAGAACAAAACCGCAGTTCCTGTTTTTAGTGTGTCTCACTTCACTTCTTCTTCCCGGCATCACCGGCCTTGGTCTACACACAATGAACACGGTTACCGTTAATAAGATTTCGTAGTAACATTATTACGATAAACAAATTAGTCGACGGTAAGTCTGCTTTTACCTTCTTAACACCACGGATTTTCTTTGTTCTGTTCTTCCTTTCCTTCATTTGCTTCCTTGATTTCTCGACCTTGGTGTCAAGTCCATTCTGTCAACGAGAGATAAAACTTTCAATATAATGAGCCATGAAACCATAACTCAGACACTATTCTCTTTCGTACAACCACTCAAGATACAAGAGATTTCAATAAGAAAATTCAACAGAACTTTATAGCATCAAGCATATTGATGGCTATTATCATCACTTTATAATAGTAAAGAGAGGAAGAACAAGATGTGAGGCAGTACCCTGATGAGCCTGTATTTGGGTTCGTATTTCTTTGCATTCTCAACCGTATCATAGATCAACCCAAACCCAGTAGATTTACCACCTCCAAAGTGAGTTCTGAATTTGAAAACAAAAATGGAGTTCGTGTCCTTGACCTCGTACATCCTTGATAACTTCTCTTTCAGTTCAGCCTTCACATACATTAACACAGTCAGTAACTCAAAACTCGTCATCCAGTCACATTATAAAAAATGAAGAACCCATCCATAATTTGATGGTAAGCAAAAAAAATGCAACTAAATTGATGTTATATGATCATAAAGAATGTACCTTTGAGACATTTGCTCTCCCTGGGTGAAGAACATCAATAACCTTCATTCACAAGTAAAAGACAGAGTATGTAAAGCCGAAATTATGAGAATTACCTCCGAATTGTACAGAAACCCTAAATGATTCAAAACATATGTGCTGATTACTGCAGAAAACTGAAATTCTAACAACGTCGACATGTGCAAGCTCTGCATTTTGTTGAAAACCAGCAGCTCACATAGCATCGTGAGATTCACTTGCTTCTCACTTTCCCACCATCATCAAACGTCGCATTGACATTAATCACGCAATACCGGAAGAACTTTGAGATATAGAAACCTAATTTTTTGTTAAAGAAACCATTTATCCGACATAGATTCTCTATTGCTCAGACTAAAACACCCAGACGTAAAGCCCTTTCAACAGCTAGCTATTTTCAAATCCTGAGGAACCTGACACCGATCTACACCGAACACTAAGTTTTTTGCATCGCGACTTTCGTGTTCGATTCAAAGGAACAGTCAAAGTTAAACCCTAACACATCGAAACATGCACAAAGATAGAGATGATGGAGAGCGAACTCACGAATTGCTTCCTGGAAAGAAGCCTGTTGGTCATGAACTTCCTCGTTCTGATGGTGACTGCTTTGTCCGCCATGGCTGCGATCTCCGGGTAAACGGCGAGACCGGTGAAAGGTTTTTCTGGCAGCTACTCCGCTTCTATTGAAGAAATTGAAACATGTATGAAACCCTAATTCAATATATATAGTAGAGCTATTTTTTTCAGGAGTTAGGGTTTGTATTCGTGGGCTGAATTATAATTGGGCTTACAATATTTACGCCCATTAAATTAAATAAACTACAACCAAGTACCCATATGTTAAGCCCAATGACATTTACGATGTTCTTCTCCTTATTATTATTATTATTATTATTATTATTATTATTATTATTATCTGACGACAGAATTATATTATGTAAGAGTGAAAACCTAAGATAGGTAAATGTTTTTTTACAATAGATTAATTTACCTAAGGTTATTAATATTTACAATATATTTACACGGTCTGCTGAAATTATATTAGCGACTAATAACACGTGAGAAGTAAGGCATAAATGTGAATATCTATTTCTTTTTGTAAAAAGATCGGGATACATCATATCCGCAAAATAAGTGACATTATCTTTTGTCAAACAACAATAATAACAATAATAATAATAATTATTGAAAGAAATAGGATTGATTAAGGTGTCAATTTTTTTTTTTTTGTCAATTTTGATTGGAAGTATGAACTTGGGTCCGGTCTGCTCCGGCCGATCTTAAAAATAACAAATTTTGGATTGAGATATTTAGATCTGAAATATTTTGGACTTTTGAATCGGGTTTATATCGGGTTTTCCGAAAAAAAAAATTTCAAAAAAAAATAAAGAAATAAATTTGAAAGAACAAATTTAGCCCGACCGTTCCAATACGAATCTATTCGAAATATAGAGGGTCAGGTTTTAGGTCTAGTGATTTAGACTCGAAAAAAATTAGACCGGCCGAAACTCTCGGACCAAATACGGATTCGGAGGCCGGCCGGATTGACACCCTAGGACTGACAAGTGACAACGAAATGAAATAGTGGAAAGCAAGGAAAGCATATGCATGATTAGAAGTTGGGTACGAGCACGTACATTTGTCTGTCCTAATCTCTTACACGTCATCACGAATTGCACACACAAGCATTATTTATATTTATTATAACGTTTGATGGGTCAACCTAATTCAAATCTCCGCGTGGCCCTACCATTTTATTTGATTATAACCAACACAATATCGTAATCACGTCCACGAATTTCATGGATCATTAAAATAAATAGCACAACCATATTATTATTTTTCTAATATATTACTGAATATATATATATATATATGAAAAAGATTGGTCGATTGGTCATGTGGATGAATCCATATTGCAACCAGAATGGTCGGCATGGAACATGGCAACTCTTGTGCTGCTGTTGGGTTTTTGAGTTATAATAATTGACCTTTCTTTCTATTTGTTTTCCTAATTCCTATTAATTTCTACATTACACAAGTAAATAAATAGCTGTATATCAACTCACACCTTGTTCACCTGGAATCAAATTAAATAAAAAGTTATACAAATCAAAAATAATTTTCTTACAAATTATATTAAAGAAACTAAACTTAATTAAAAAAATAGGTAAAAGGTCAAATAAACGAAGCCATAAAAGTAGTACACTTTAGTGAAAAATAAATCTAAACAATACTAATACTAATAAAAATTGAACAGAAACATCTTTTTTTTAAAATTTTTTAAAATAAACTAACAAAAATAGATTTTTCAACCTGTTTAAATCTAATATATACAAACTATTAGAAATTTGATTTTCTCAAATTTTTTAATTTGAAATATTGTTGAATTTATTTTTAAAATACGTATACGTATACAATACATGATTTCTCAATACTCTGTAATCTAGGAGTATTTTAAAAACAATTGCCTGTGTTTATTAATAAATGCGAAATAATATGAAAAAAAGGCCAATAATAGTGATGATGATAATAATTCTTTTCCCAGCAAGGATGGAGAAAATTATTGGACAGCTTGAACTCACGAATTCTATAATTCGTTCATAGCTGTTATTCTGCTACAAAATAATAAATGAAATGTTATATAAAAACAGATAGTAGAAGGTTATTCCAACACAAATATTATTATCTAAAAAAAATACTATACAAATTGAAAGTAAAATTGGCCATGCAGTGAAATGAAAATAAAATATTAAAATTGGGAAACTTACTCAAAATTATAACTTTTGTTAAGCTGCTGAGTCCTGAGTGTTGGAATTAATTAGTATTATTATATTATAAATCTCAAATTGAAACAAAAGTTGAAAATTGTTGAATAACCCTGTATAAAAATTTGACAGATTAAAAAAAGACAATTAAATAAAGATTTCATGGCCTGTACCAAGGCTATTATTGTAAAATAATTTTTTAAAAAAAAAGAATTATAATAGTTTCTCTATATCGTTTAGGAATCTCTCTCTCTCTCTCTCTCTCTCTCTCAATATATATATATAATATGTGAAGGCGTTAATACATAAAAAAAATTAAAATACACTAATATGAATATGAATTATGATGCATCAACAGCATCGACCGGAAGTGAAGTTGTCCTTTTCAGACATCTCGGAAGCAATTTATCACCGTACGACTGCTTCCCACAAACCGGAACTCCTTCACCTTTAACCAGACCCAAACCGGAAAATCCGCATGCTTGGTCAAATTGCTCCTCATCCCGGTTATCTGACATCCGGATCTTGAGTCGCTGATCTTGAATCTCCCTCAGTTCTATCTGGTACCTGGCTTTAAGCCACCTCAGTTCTTGCTCGATCCGCTTCTCCTTGTTTTCAGACAAGTCGTCGCAGTACAGAGATGGCGTCAGAGAGAACGATCCCGAACCAGATAACCGGCAAATTGCGTTGCTTGTCTCGCAAGAAAACCCATTTACCCAATTCTCCTTATATCGCTCGTCTCCTTCTTCTTCTATCTCTTCTTCTTCTTCTTCTTCTTCTTCTCCTTCAGACCCCAATGAACTAAGCTCGCGGCTTTCCTGCCGCTGCTGCTGCTCCCAGATTTCTCGGAGACGTTCCTCGGTTTGTTTCAACCCAAAAGTGATTTCCTCGAACCGGCCGTGCGTAGAGCCACACCCGTTTCTACAGCATTGGATCACATTAGCTCCAGGATTGCTCCTGAGGAAATCCATGACAGATCCCATCGATGTTCGGTTGGAAGTGCAGTTGTAGCAGATGTTGGCGTTCTCGGAAAATCGGGGAGATTCATGGAATTCAGGGCCCGGTCTCCATCCCGGCACCAGAGAAGCAATCTCCCCGTCGATCATGTTTGCTATTTTCGTCACATCGTGATCATCCATGTCTAGTTCCGCAACCATCTCTGTTGCAACGCTCAATGCTGTGTCGGTCACGATGTCAAACGGGAAATATATGTTCCTGACACGCCCTGCAAATGAAAAAGGAGAGGACTTAACAACCATTACAATGAAAAGATCCCATTTCTTCACTTCTTTTCATTCAGACATGAAACAAAACAACAGATATACCTTCCTTGTCGGCTATTCTAAGGCGTAAGAACAAACCACCATCGTCTCTTCTCTTTCCTTTGATGCTAATGTCGACAAAACCAGCATCCGGGTTTTCTTCCTGATCTTCGTTTTGACACTCAAAGAGTTCTATTCCATGCGTCTCGGTCTCAACTGGGTTGTACGCCCATTCATTCTGATATTCATGACCATAATAGCCATTTGAGTACTGATTATGATAAGGATTGATGTAGTCGAGGACATAAGGCGGCCTAACGAGCGGGCCAGTGTCTAGGGCTCTCCCCAAATCGGATTCACCATCGTCGATATAAAGAAAAGGGTCATCTAAAAGTTCCCGGGCCGAGAGCCTTAGTGATACAGTCGCCAGGCATTTCTCAATGAACCCTCTAACCTCAGGGTCCTTCACTTTGTACAACGCATCTGGTTTTCTTCCCTGAAAAGAGATTTTTGCATAAGAGAAACTAAAAAACCGAGCATTTTATCCGAAAGGAACGACCTTTGTCAATGTTCCTAGAAGAGTTCTTACCGACATAACTTTCTTGTATATCTGAGCAGGATGAGTACACTCGCTATACGGGTACTCGAACGTGACCATTTCCAAGATGCACATTCCGAACGAGTAAATGTCAACCAATTCGTTATATGCTTCTTCGTAAACTTCAGGAGCCATGAACTCCGGTGTCCCTAAGGAGAAAACCCAAAAAGAAACAAATGATTCAGCCAAATAAAAACCCGAGAAAAAACGTTCCCGAGAGAAATTCAATCTGACAGATTTGCATACCGACACAATGAGCAGCGTGGGACTTTCTTAAGATAGCAGCGAGGCCAAGATCCCCGATCTTAACCTCGCCTTGGTTCCCGTTAATGAAAATGTTGTCACACTTGAGATCTCTGTGGATAACAGGAGGGTCATGGCTGTGAAGGTAGTGTAACCCTCTCAAGATCTGTCTACACCATTGCTTCACTGCTCTTATGTTAACTCTCCTGTGCTTTAGCCTGTACCTAAAACAATAAAAGGAAGAAACTTTCTTTTTACAAAGCATTGGACAGACAAACATAAACCCTCATGGATTCATTACAACAACTATCTCAAATATTTGCTTGATCCAGCCGCTTGGAAGTTCGATGTCAAGATTCCCAACTTTCCTTCAGATATCTTAATCTCAAGAACTATTACTAAGAACATGTCCCTATGTTTTGTAAAATAACAGGGAAGCAGATGAGCGATAATAGGAACATAAGCCTATTTGGAAGAGAATCTTACTGTCTCAAGGTGCCAGAAGTGAACATCTCAGTGACAAAGTTGATGTTACGATTAGAGGTGTCGACCCAAGAAGTGTAGAATTTCATGATGTTCCTGTGTTTTAGGGTTTTGAGGAGATGGATCTCACAGTAGAGCCTCTCCAGATCCTCGGGGCTCTGCAAGAAATCGTAGAGCTTCACCTGGTTCCATGCCACTTCTATGCCTTCATACTCATCAAATGCTCTGTAACTGCACAACAAATACGCAAAGTGTGAAATAAAACTACCCATCTTATGATGTATCATGAACAGGAAAGGAATCTGAAGTAGGGAGAAGACCACTTAGATTCAATCAAGGACTCAACAAGAAAAAGAAAATCCAGAGGAATCTCTCGAGATGTCGATAGATCGGAAATGGGTTTTGATTGGGAAAACAAAAAGTCTCAAACTTTATAATAAAAAAACGGAAGATAAAACGAGGGGGGAAATGGGATTCTACAGGGAACCTCATCACCAGATTCAGAAAAAGGGAGAAAAAAAAATCAGAACTTTTTTAGCGAATCCGAAATGGGTGTTTCAGACATTGACAAGAAGAAACAAGAAAAAATCTAGCGAGGGGTCGGATTCTTACACGGTCTTTGAAGCTCCTTTGCCCAGAACTTCATTGTACTGCCCAACAAGAACACACCAAAACTTTATCAAAACCAAAACCAGAAAACAGATGAACGGATCAACAGAAGCATTCGAGATTGAGGGACGAGAGAAAATTTACCCTCCCGTATCTTCCTGTCGGGTCGACTTCAACGAACCCGGAGTAATCTTGCTCAACATGATCCGAACCATTCATCTTCTCCGAATTCAGAGAGAGAGTTACGATGTTCTTCTCCTT